TTTTTTTTAAGTCAGATACTGAGAAATAAATGAAACTTTTGTTGTGACTGCCATGTTGCTGCAGATCATTTTATCAGCAAGAAGTATTTTGGTAATCATATACATATTAGAATTGCTTACAGGTGTTTTCAGAATTCATCTGTCAATGACAAGGTGAATTTTCATGAAAAAAACACGAGTATTGAAACTTGTTCCAGGTTGCTGCAGATCTCGTCTTTCAATGGCAAGATGAATGCTCTGAATGAAGTGAACAAGGTGATCACTAGCGTATCCTACTACACACACCGCCATGCTCAGATGGAGGAGGACGAGTGGCTCACAGCAGAAAAGATGGCGGTAAGATGGATAGCTGTGACAGCATCAGTACATTAGGAGCAGAGAAATAGTAGTCAAAAGTTGATACAATTTGGGCAGTGTTTTGACTTGGGGTCTTAGGCCCCATTCAGAATAGGGGACTAACTAGTCCAAGTGTCAAGTATGGCAACCCACTACAAAGGTTGCCGTCTTATCCGCTTATAGACACTGAATAGATATCCCGTGGGGAAGTATTCAAATTGGTCAGACATATCTGACCCTAGGACTAGTTAGTCCCCTATTCTGAATGGGGCCTAAGACCCCAAGTTGCCAGTCTTCGTTAACTGTGTCAGTAAAAAACTGAGAGGGTTATACTGATGACGTTCCCTGTGCATTTCTAAGAATAAATGTATGGTTTTAGTTCATCAGAGAGAAAAGTGAATTCTTCACCCACCCCCGTCTTTCACAGTTGGTACTGTGCCATGCAGGGCTGGATTTGCGGGTTCATACATCCTTTTTTATCCTATCAAAAATATTTAACTTCACTGCTGTATTTCTCATCTTTAATTTGGCAAGTGTCCTTCTGTGCTATAACTTTAGTCTAAACTATATATTTTTGTTGTTTTATTTTCTAGGAGTGGATTCAGGAGAACAAAGTTTTAGACATAGTGTTGAGGGACAGCCTGCACCAGCCCCAGTATGTGGAGAAACTGGAGAAGATTCTTCGCTTCATGATCAAAGAGAAAGCCTTGACGCTGGAGGACTTGGACAAGTTGTGGGAGGCACAGGTATAGTAATAATGATATGATAAGTTTAATAAAACATAGCAACCAAAAGGTTGAAGTTGTTCCAAAAATGAATAAGAATAAAATACAGGAAAAAAACATGGCCTTGTTCTCAACATTTATCCCAACTTTTCTACATTATTCTGTATGATTACATTATTTATTTTCTCATGCCGCAAAATTTAAATTTGTACTCCAACTTGTACAACATCATATTCCAGGCTGGCAAACATGATGCCATAGTGAAGAATGTCCACGACTTACTGGCCAAGTTAGCCTGGGATTTCTCCCCTGACCAGTTGGACCATCTGTTTGAGTGCTTTCAGGTGAGTGTCAACTCTGTGTTAAGATGGAGAGAATATCTTGTCAGAGGGGTTTTGAAATATTGAATCCAGAAGAGCTGTTAGTCTGAGCACCTTTTAGTTTTGTTGAAGAGTATTTTCTGCTTTATTTCTTTTTGGATAATTTTGATTATATCACACTGATGACGTTCCCTATGCATTTCGAAGAATAAATGTATGGTTTTAGTTCATCAGAGAGAAAAGTGAATTCTTCACCCACCCTCGACTTTCACAGTTGGTACTGTGCCGTGCGGGGATGGATTTGCGGGTTCAGACATTTGATTTGTGGGGAAAAAAATAACATATGGGTTTGAATTTTTGTAGACTCAAACTGGCATAGTTAAGCCAAATGTTAAGGTTCATTTACTTTAGCAAAAGGAAAAAGTGAAAAAATATTTTGAAATTATGCCATCACTGTTTGTCACTGGTTTAACTTAAAGCAATTGATGTGCCCCATTTGTATTTACAAAATGTTTCACAACTTGTCTCATCACATACACCGTACCTTTCTAGGGGAGCTGGGCACACGCCTCCAAGAAACAAAGAGAAAAGCTGCTGGAGTTGATCCGTCGTCTGGCAGAGGACGATAAAGAGGGTGTCATGGCAAACAAGGTGCTTGGCCTCCTCTGGAACCTGGCCCACAGCGAGGATGTCCCCACGGACATCATGGACCAGGCCCTGAATGCCCACATCAAGATCCTAGACTATAGCTGCTCGCAGGACAGAGATGCACAGAAGATGCAGTGGATCACGGCCTTTGTGGATGAGCTGAGGAATGATAAGTGGGTGCTCCCTGCCTTGAAGCAGATCAGGGAGATTTGTCAGTTGTTTACAGAGGTGTGTATAGTTTTGTGTGTGTATTGCATTAGATGAGAACATTTTGATTCCTGGGTCACACATTGGACCTGCTAATGATGTAAATTTTTCCTAAACTAGTATGTTGCACATTATAGATTTTTTCTGATGCTATAATATAAATTTACTGAAGTAAACTAAAATCCATCTTGTTTATTTTATTTTTATTTTATTTTTTTGAGAAATAAGGGCATAAAAATAAATGTTTAATCGACCTTTAGAGAGCTCATTAATAACTTGTATATCATCTTCCTTTCACAGCAACCCCAGAATTTCACTCACCCACAGAGGACGCCACATGTCTTCTACAGGAACAATGTGATAGGCCAACTCCAGAACACTCACTCCATAGTAATGCTGGTGGCACAGAACCTCACTTTGTATATGAAGAAGGCCAGGGTTTATGCTAAAGGTAAGTTACTGCACTCAGTTGTAGTTTATTTGTGAACAATTAGATGTAATCAGATCAATCTCTAAGACAATGATAGGTTACAAATCATTGTGTAAATTTTCATTTTATTATTATTTTTTTCACAGAGCACCCAGAAATTCAACCTGAAGATATATTACCAGATGGACGTTTTAATCATATACAGCAAGTACAAGAAAGGCTCAAGTTTTTAAGGTAATGGCAACAATATCCCCTGCATGATTGCAAACCAAGATCACAGTAACATTAAAGGGATGCTACTTATTGTGTGACACGAAAAATTGGTAGGGGTGGGGGTAGCACGCATCCATACACCCATGTACAGACACACGTACGCACATATGCATGCACACGGAAGTAGGATTTCAATGTGTTCTGTTTTCTGTTGCAGGTTTTTGTTAAAAGATGGGCAGCTGTGGCTGTGTGAGCCTCAGGCCAAGCAGATCTGGACCTGCTTAGCAGAGAATGCCATATATCTTAGTGATAGAGAAGCCTGCTTCAAGTGGTTTTCTAAGGTAGGTGTATTTTTCAGATAATACACTAAACAGTTGTAGATGATTATTATAATACCAAATTTAAAAAAAAAGCAACCTTATATTTCAAGTGCCAAAATGTGAAAAATATTCCATTTGCATTTAAAAAAGATTTGATCAGAACTCTTTGAAGTAAACACATAACCACATATATGTGTATTTGATGCAGATGTTACAATACATTCTCAGTTGTAATGTTGACTGTACATTTGATATAATTCTAGTTAATGGGGGAGGAGCCAGACCTTGACCCAGAAATCACCAAAGATTTTTTTGAGAACAATATACTTCAGTTAGAGCCCCCACTACTTACAGAGAATGGAATGAAGTAAGTGCTGACAGTGCTTCTTTATAATTCAAAAACAGAATTATGACATAATTAAGATTTTAATACATTGTTAATGCAAGGGCAATAGTACAAACCCAGAAAAAAAAAGAAAAATAAAAAAATGTGGTTAGGCCTTTAGTGTTGTTTACCCAACCTGCAAAATATTACATCATGTTATTTGAAAGATTAACATAGTATTGAGAAAATTTAAAATATGTCTCAGTCTCTTCATTTAATGATGAGCCAGTTAACTTGTGAGTGAAAAATGTCAATTTTATACAATTGTGCAACTTTTTAACTTAATTCCTTTTGGGAATTGTCTTCCAGTTGTTTTGATAGGTTCTTCAAAGCGGTCAATGCCAAAGAGTCTAAGCTAATGGCCAAACGTCGCGGAGGTTATGTGATGGACGACATAGAGTTAATAGGACTGGATTATTTATGGAGGGTGAGGAATCTAAATTGATTACCCTCAAAATTAGGAGATGAAACTTTCAGAAACATTTAAGGAAAGTTAATAAATTAATGCCTAAAACATCTTATTGAAAATAACAGGACCTGATAGAAAATATATGTTTATAGCAATGTTTAAGTAGCAAGATTTACTCAGTGGGCAACATCACTTAAACACAACAATGTGAAATGTAGTATTATTTTATAAATTTAATAATATTTCATCACTAATAGACAGCATTCCATTACGCTACAGGTAGTAATATATGGCAGTGAAGAAGTAGCAGAGAAAGCCGTAGCCCTGATGAGGGAAGTCTACACAAACCTAGGTCCTCACCTCCAGTCTAGCCAGCTGGCGATCCACGAGGACTTCCTGTCTATTTGTCGAGACAGGATGAAGGCCATGTATGACACGGTGACGGCGCTGCAGAAGGACAAGGACAGCCTCAAGGTGGACCAGGAGTCCACGCGGATCATCCGGGTTATGACGTTATTGAGGGAGTATATACAAGAGTGTGATGACACACATGGCGAGGAGAGGGCAATTTTACCTTTGAATAGGTCAGTTGCTGTCGTGGATATTATAGCAGAGATCTCTGTCATGTTTGTCTGTTTGATTCTATGCCAAATTAAATTCGTTTCAGGGAGATGGGTGTATTTAAGACTTGCTCACACTTTTGATAAATATGTGTAGATTTTGAATTCACTTTTAATCTTATTTCTAAGTTCTACAACATTGTTGAGAGGCAAAGCTGAGATTTATGTATTGAATCAAAACGCACAAATTTTTTTTCTCAACAGGGCTTGTCGCGGCAAACACATAGGTATCGTAGTGAGGTTTCCCAATCATGGCCGCCAGGTTGACGACATGGAGGTGTGGTCACATACTAATGACACGATTGGCTCAGTGAGGAGGCAGGTGTTACACAGGTGAGTTGGACCTGTCAGTGGAAGTAGCACAGGGGTATGTGAAATAGGAGTGGCACACCTTCCTGTGGGTGTTGAGACTGCAGTGGCAACATGAATTCCGTTGCTGTGAAAATGATGAAACTTCAAATCTTTATTTAATGAAGACTGAAAGCTGGTAGTAACATGCTGATTTGGAAATTTGATTTGGAAATTAGAATTATTTGATAAGTTTGCTTTGTTTCAGGCTAAAAGCCAACAGTAGTAACCTGAAGTTAGACCTGTATGTCAATGGAGAGATTCTGGACCCCACTGAAGACAGGAGACTGGTGTCGCAGGTCCCAATTAGGGATAAAACGGTAAGAGAAACTATTATAACATTATATGTATTTATATTAATGGCATAAATGTTTTTCACCTGAGAATGGAGAATTAAAAAAAAAAAAAAAAACTTTTGTTACTGTTATTATACAATGTAAAAACAGCCAAGGTCAGATAGCAACTAATACACAGGCTTTTTCCTGCAAATTCTGTTATAGAATTATTGCAATGTCTGCGACATCAGCTCCTGTCAGAAGCATCAGACTTGAATATTTGATGTCAGAATTGAAAAAGTTACTAGTTCTATCTGTCTAGTGGAAATTTTAACCAATGGTTTTAGATGATTTTTCCATTATCACACTTTATCATTGTGCTGGTTTATATTTTACTTGACTATTAGCTTAATGAGGCTTACAAGTGGGATGAAAAGTTTTAAGGGGGAGAAAGATAATGCATACTGGTGTATATAATCTAAATTATGTGTCCTATTTTATGCTTTCAGTTAATCACAGCCAAGTTGTCTCAGATGGGGACCAACATGCCGTCTAGTCCTGATAGCAGTAGTGATAGCTCCACAGGGTCTCCACACACAGCATATGATGGCCCTAATCTGGAGGCAGAGCAGCTCTTACCTGGAGTGGTAAGTAGAATGTTGTCTTAGGGGGGTGATAGCAGTAGTGATAGCTCCACAGGGGCTCCACACACAGCATATGATGGCCCCAATCTGGAGGCAGAGCAACTCTTACCTGGAGTGGTAGGTAGAATATTGTCTTAGGGGGTGATGATTGTGGTGATAAATATTGGTAATTGGGATTGTGAATATAAGGAATACTTAACTTGAAGGGAAACGGAAATAAAAACAGAAGTGATGCTTGATGTGCTTGTAAAATTCATCACACCAGCTGTCATTTGATATTTTTAATGATAGCATTATTTATATTGACAAATTTTTTCAACAATTTGTGCCTTTTGGCATTTTTAAAAGATGTGTATCTTGGAATAAGTATATCACACTTATACTGTCCAATTTGTGAATCCCTCTTATGTGACCCAATATTTGTATTTCATTGTTATTTGCACATCATAACCTAATTATGTTAATCATACATGCAACTTGTTATATTAATGAAGTGCACTTATCATATTTCCAGATCATGTGCCATACAGCCCACTATGTACAGTTCTTGTTTCAACTCTCCGACTTGGGAAGCAATCTGCAGATCCCCAAACTACGCGACAGCGCACGTGCGTTACTAAAGATAATCCCTCCTGACAAACACAGCGTGGACAGGTTACGTGGTATCTGTGATCAGCATGCGAAGCACGGCGCAGCCTCTCTTGCTCCAACACTAGAGTCTGTGTTCTTCTGTCAGTCGCCAACACAAGTCTTGTATTATCTGGAGGTAAGAAATCCAAGACTGAGTAGCAGTGTGAATTGAGCATCTGAAATAGTGTTTAAAAAGGTGAAACTGGTTTTGAAAAGAACTCATTTATCTTGATGGAAATTCATCTGTTTAGTCTTTTGTTTCTGACATATGCTTAAACTTTTCATTTTCTACACATACCTAACAATGCCTTCAGTCCTTACTGTGCCCTTCCTCAGTGTGTGTTCCTCTGAGACTGATCATTTATGGTCAGTGGAATGTTGCGTCTTTAAAAACACAAGTCTGTAGTATTTGAAGGTTACAACACTTAACTGATTAAGATTGCTTCTTGTCATTTTATCATAAAGTGGATCAGATATTATTAGTATGTATTTTACTTACATAATTTTGACATACTATCTTTCTCCAGGTGGCGTACACATTACTGATGCCGGCCTCCAATCCACTGTCAGAGGAAGCGTTCCAGTTCCAGGTGGACTTCATCAAGAGCGGGGGTGTGGCTGCCACACTGAACATGCTGACAAAGAATAACTTTTTGTCAAATGCTGACTTGCCAACAAAAAGGTAAGGGCATCATGTAGGTCTGAAATCAGTGACCAGTCAAAGTGATGAGAAGGCGATAACAGCTAAGTCAACGTAATTATTTATAGTAACAACAAAAACTGTAAGTCTAGAAATAGTACCAGAAGCAGGGCATATATTACAGAACAAGATTGAGGACTGGACATATTAGAACCGAGGTGCTATTGGCCTCAGCAAAATGTTGGAAGAAGATGAAGTCTACATTCTATAGACTTGCTTGGGAATGTCACAGGTAAAACTTGGGTCCATGTTTATGATAACCTGTCGTGTCCTCATCTCCCCAGGTCTGCCTTCCTCCCCATCTTGAAGATCTGTAAACTCTTGCTGACCACAGTGGGACACGCCATAGTGGGCGTGGTGGCGGAGGCGTGTCAGTCCGACTCTCCCACACAGATCACAGCCAGTGAACACAGTCACGCTGTCCTCATACAGACGGCTCTCCACCACATGCCTAACCCTGGGTCAGAGTACATGTTGAGGAATGTGGCAGCCAGGCTTGGGGCTTTTCTGAAGGAAGAGGTGAGGGGTAAAGGGGTATATAGCTTTTTAAGGTCTTAAAATAAATAAATGGATAATTTCGAGTTGTTTGCAGTCATTTTTTTATCCTGTGCATTTCGATCACTTTTGATCGTTTCATGACTTCACAACAGTAGCAGGCTATATTAACACAAGTGGTGAAAGTGTAGAAAAGTTTTATAGTGGTGGGTTGTTTGTCAAATTTTTGCTGTAAAAAAGTACCAACTAAATGTTGAATTAGGAATTACTTATGTATAAATGTGCCTTTATCAGGCTGTGGGTACCAAGCCAGACCTGACCACTATCAAAGCCCTGCAGAAGATTGCCTGGGCAGCGTCCAGTGGCTGTGTCCAGCTGGTCAGTGCAACCAGTGAGGACATACATAAGGCTCATGAGAAGGTGAGAGAGAGAGAGAGAGAGAGAGAATTTGGGAAGGGGGTGGGCAATCAAATTTAATGAAAATGAATTGTCAAAAAAAGTTTCAAAGTCTCCAAAGGACATACATAATATGATACTTACCTAGACAGAGAGGAGAGGGGAAGAGAGAGGGGAAGAGAGAGGGAGAATTTGGAATGGGGGGAGTCAACCAAATGAAGTGAAAAAGATCATTCAAAACAAAGTAAATGAAGACAATTTACACATACAAGACATAATACATAGTATATTTTGCTGATCTGCACATAACACACATAATACAACATCCATACCTGTATCCAATTCCAGGCTGACAGTAGTAAGCAGGACCCTGAAGATATCAGTGTGTGTAAGGAGTCTCTGGAGTGTCTGACCATCTCCCTGGCTCTGTGTCCCTCTGCCCTGGAGACCCTCAGTAAGGACAAGGCATGGCAGTGCTTTATAGTGGACCTACTACTACTCAGCAAGAGCAGGTATGGCCCCAGTTATAGTATGTTAAGTTAATATGTCCATTGGACTGAAAGAAAAACTTTGCAGAATTTAAATCAGGTGTTGGTTTAGTTTTACCAAGGGAATATTGAATGAATTAATTAAAGGGATTTCTAACTTTATAGCTCTTTGATACAGCTGCAAAAACCAATTTCTGAATCAGTTTGTGTTAAGCTTTGGGTATGTATGTACCGACATTGTGCACACGCACGCACGCACACACACATACCTACCTACCTACCTTTAAACTTGCATCTCAAATCATCCGTACCTTGATTCGCTGATCACAGCTCCTCTTGTCCTCTAGGTCTGTACGTGCTGCCTCCTGTGAGCAGTTATACCTGATAGCCTCCAAGTGCAGCAGTGGACACAGACCCTTGGTCTTTTTTGTCACCCTGCTGTTCACAGTTTTACAGGTGAGAACACTGGTGTACTGCCACACACAGTACATTTGGCAGTAGACCAAATCTATAGTGTACTTTGCCCCAAAATAAATTCAAGTTACTGTAATAAATTAGGAAGTTCAGATTTTCTTAAAATTGTGTTTTGTTACTTTTTCAGAGTCATGCTAAGGACTATGCCAAACAAGCGCATGATTATTTCCAGCTTCTTTGTAGGTAAGTTGTAGATATATTTTACTTTTATATAACCCTGTCAGATGATTAATTGTAAATTAAGGGAAATTGTACATTATATTGGAAAGATCTGGTAATTACAAATTTCAGCTGTTACCTATTTCCAATGCACACAAACACTTGCAATGTTTCATCTTAACCTAACATAATCGTAATTTTAAGGACTTTTCAGGGAGGAAAAAAATTCACAGGTCTTGAAAAATTCATGGAAAATTGAAAATATTTATAATTTCTCTCTGCCCAGGTTGCTGAATTATGCTTACACCCAGGCCCAAGCTCCACTGCCAAATGCTGAGGTGTTGTTGAATAATGAGATCCAGTGGCTGAAGAGAGTTAGGGTAAGTTTACATAAGGGAATATTTATGAAATGTTTTTACAACTGGTTAAAATTGAGGTGAAGGATTTTATTTCTTCTGGCAACTTTAAAAAGAGGGGTAATTTTTTTTTCCTTGAAAGATAGAAGAATTTATGATTGATACTGTAATAATAATGTCACATTTCAGGATGAGGTGTTAAAAACAGGGGAGGTCCCAGTGGAAGAGGCTCTCCTTGAAGGTCATCTGGGGGTCACCAAGGAACTGATTGCCTTTCAGCCTGTAGAGAAGAAATATAATATAGGAGCTGAAAAGGGAGGGGCTAATCTCATCAAGGTAAACAAGAAAATACTTTGAAGGACTGTAGTTATATTATTTTGTGATTTTTCCCTGTGGCACATATTATTTGGTCTGCAAGGCATTTACCACTTCCAAACTAATCTGGTTGTTTTGTTTAAAGGCTACCATGAATTAGTATAATGTGTTAAATGTGGACGGCATTTTGTCGGTCCTAAGTTAATTAAAATATTTCAATGTTTAGACTGCTTCTTATTTGTAAACCATTTGTTTTTTTTGCTCCTCTTGCCCCTTTTGACATTTCCCTGTCTCTTTCGTAACTAATTATAAGTATCATCATCTTCTTTGTACCAACTAGGAAATAGTAGAAGACTTCATTTTCCCTGCCTCCAAGATAGTACTCCAGGTGAGAAAGTTGAATGGGGAGCTTCCCTCAGAACAAGCCATTCCTGTGTGCTCTACCCCCCAGACTGTGATTGCCGCCTTTGACCTGCTGGTCGCGCTGTGTACGGGCTGCGTGCAAAACCTGCAAATGCTTGCAGAAATGCTCACGGACATGTATTACTCAGGTAGGCATTAATTGGGCATTTTCAGAGAGGGTTGCCCCAGGGTGGTCATTATGTGTACATAACATTTGTGCTCACTGTTATACAGGAATTACTGCCTGTCTAGTTGTGAGCACATTTCTTTAACTGGCCTTGAAGTACAAGTCTTACCTTTGTGTTTATATTTAGAAGTCTTTTTACAAAATACAATTTTGAGATGAAAGGATTACATACCAACTTCAACTTCACTATTTCACAATCACAATACCAAAAAAAATTAATACCAAGGAAGGGAATGAGTTGAAGATCTTTATAATGACAAGAGATCAGCTGAGGACCTCATTCTTATGACTCCCCCCCTTATCTCTCCCTCTCTCCAGGCCATGAACCAGCCCTGACAGAGTGGGAGTACCTGCCTCCAGTAGGGCCACGGCCATACAAAGGTTTTGTAGGCTTGAAGAATGCTGGAGCCACATGTTATATGAACTCTGTACTACAACAGGTGAGTGTGGCAGTGAAACATGAAATTTGGTGAATTGATGAAGAAGTAAAGTGTCCAGAAGAGATGTATGGGTGGTGTTATTCAATATGAGAACTGTTAAAAGTATAGGGCATAGGTGTAAGTTCATATAAATTGCTTTGCCAGAATAAAGCACTTTATGACGCACTCAATCAAGAAGATGTGTGGTTTCAAATCAGATTTTGCAATGTTAAGATTGTTGTGCCTTGTATTCTGTAAAGCATACAAAATATTAACTTCATCCTCTCTGTATTTTCAGTTATTTATGATTGACCCAATTAGACGAGGCATTCTGGCTGTAGAGGGCGCTGTGGAGGAGTTAGAGGAAGAGGAGACGGAGGAGAAGCATGACAATGAGGTCACATACTACAATCAGGTAAGGTCACATTTTGTAATATGAGACCACATACTATAATCAGTTTAGGACACATATTTGATGTGAGGAGCCACAGTATAGTTTGAGGGCAGGCACTACAAAATTAAATTAAGAAGATGAAAATGTGTTATAGAGGTCAGTCAAGTTATGTATATATTATATGTGTTGCAGAGTAACCAAGAAAGCAATGAGGAGGAGAGGAAGGATGAGGAGAAGTCCCCATCTAACAAGGAAGATGACCGTAAGAGCTACCACCTGGGTGTGTGTAGACAGGTCCAGATGATCTTTGGTCATCTAGCCTGCAGCAAACTACAATATTATGTGCCCAGAGGGTTCTGGAAACATTTCAAGTGAGTGGACTCTGTGGTCTTTACATTTTACTGCTGAGCTAGAAGACTGGTAGCAATAGGTTTAGAGTTTGTAGCTAAATTTTGAGTGTAATTTTGTAAAATTGCATAACCTTGAGAAATAAATTTATAAGTCAGGTAGTCAAAAGTTTTGGCTTTTTTGGACAAGAAAACACTAAAACTTGAATAAGGATGGAGTAACTGAAAACATTTAAAAAAATTAAAAATTGTCCTATGAAAAATTTAAAATCTGATAATTTTTGAACACAATTAATTTTTTTTCCTCCAGGCTGTGGGGAGAACCAGTTAACCTACGAGAGCAGCACGATGCATTAGAATTTTTCAACAGTTTGGTAGACAGTCTAGATGAAGCTCTGAAGACAGAGGGACACCCTCCCATACTGTCCAAGGTGCTGGGAGGCTCCTTTGCTGACCAGAAGATCTGCAAAGATTGTCCACATAGGTATGTTATGAATTGTGTCTTCATTGAACCTGGCAGTATTGTCCACATAGGTAAGTTCAATGTCTTAGACTGGCAATTGTGGGCATGTTAGCACATCAGAACATTTAAGACCAGACAGGTGAATATTTTAGACATGTTGGTGTAGATTTAAGACTTGATATGTGCATGAGTGAAAGTTTTCAGGTTTATGCTGATTTCAGGATTATCAGTCTTCATTTTGATCATTTCTTATATCCTCTAAATGAAATCAGAAATTGCAAGCTGCCTTTTCTGGTTTATTGCCCATAGATTATTGTGCTGTAAAAACCAAATATAACAATGTTCAGGTCAGTGCTGCTGTTATTCCAGGTATTCTCGTGAAGAGTCGTTCACCACACTCAACGTAGACATTCGCAACCACACCAACTTACTAGAGTCCCTGGAGCAGTATGTGAAGGGGGACCTGCTGGAGGGTGCCAATGCCTACCACTGTGAAAAGTGTAATAAAAAGGTCAGTGTTGCAATGTATGTTCACTGTGTGCAGCTATGGCCCTTGCCTCCCTCTCTCTCTCTCTCTCTCTCTCTCTCTCTCTCTCTCTCTCTCTCTCTCACACACACACACACACACACACACACACTATCACCTCACTGCCTATGTTCTCCATCCTGCCTCTGATCTCACTTTATGCACTATACAGTGGAAATTGGTCTATGGACGTCCTCTGATTTCTTCCCTTCAATGTTTATATATATCTATGATCTGTGATTTCTGTGTTCCAGGTTGACACTGTCAAGAGGCTGTGCATTAAAAAACTACCCAGTATATTAGCTATCCAGCTCAAACGGTTTGACTATGACTGGGAGAGGGAATGTGCAATCAAGTTTAACGATTACTTTGAGTTCCCAAGGGAGTTTGACATGGATCCCTTCACAGTACTAGGGCTGGCAAAAATAGAAGGTAAGCACTGGCAAGGTCTATGTGAAAATACAAATTTTATGATAAATCACCTGTAAACATAGACGTAAAGAAATAAATATTTATTTCTGACCTGCACAGAATCAGGAAGAGCTTGGGGTTTCTTGCAGTGCAGGTCCCGGACTTTCAGTATCTCCAAAGTTTTCCCCATGAAGAGTGATATAGTGTTAGCAGCTTGATAAATATATCGCATTTCATTGGTGATTGTACAGAATAGCTGAAAGTTGGTACAAATTACAAGTTGAAATTATTTTCAGACCTTGTATCTTCCATTTCCAATAACCATTTACCTCATTGCTTATAACTGACTTATACGGACCTATTTCAGGTGAAATGATAGAGGAGGACATCACAGACCTGACCAAGACACAGTGTACAAAGTACAGACTGATTGGGGTGGTGGTCCACAGTGGACAGGCCAGTGGTGGTCACTATTACTCATATATATTACACAGGTGAGTGGTCACTATACAAAGTACAGACTGATTGGGGTGGTGGTCCACAGTGGACAGGCCAGTGGTGGTCACTATTACTCATATATATTACACAGGTGAGAGGTCGCTATGTGAGGTGGAATTATAGATAATGTGATATGTTTAGTTTTCAAATGAACAGAAATTACATCTGCTACAGCTAGACTAGTTCAGTCTGGCTAGTAACTTAGAATAATCCCTATTAGGCCGATAGCAAAACTTTATCATTTATTGAAGATTAATCAATACTTGTCTCCTAACCTAAAGTTTGATGAAGATTTTCCTACAATTTTGGTAGACGGAGAAATAACTTTCCCACCAAATATACCCTAAAAGGTACATAAAAAGTTTGCAGCCTTGAACAGTACTCATACTCATAAACTCGTAACTACAGTGATATCTTCTATTACTCATTAATCACTGTGGTACATTGCTATCTATAGGGCTGGCTCAGAGCAGGCTAAATGGTACAAGTTTGATGATGGAGAGGTGACAGAGTGCAAGATGGAGGATGATGAGGAAATGAAGAACCAGTGTTTTGGTGGGGAATATCTGGGTGAAGTGTTTGACCACATGTTGAAGAGGTAAGTAAAAACTATATGGAGAATCAAGGAGTGGTGTAAAATGCCAAATGGAACAAGGAGATATCTTTTTTTTTTTTTTTTTTTTTTGTACATGAGAAGAACCTGTGATAAATATAAAAATAATAATTGCTGATTTTGTTAAGAGGGAAATAGGTTTGTATGCATTCCTAGTTTTCAGTCTGTTTGAAAATAAGATTTGATGAAGTTTAGTAAAACCTGATAGTGATGGTTTAGAGGTTGAACAGTTCAAGATTGCATCTCAGCTTTTAGTTTTGTACCTGCCCAATGATTCCTGCTGATATCATGGTATCAATAAGTACTATATATCTAACCCATTCTTGACTCTCAATTCCAGAATGTCATATAGGAGACAGAAGAGATGGTGGAATGCCTACATATTGATATATGAGAGGATGGACATATCATATACCTCCCACACTGACTTTGACATGAGCAAGAGCATGCAGGATTTAACCATAGGTGAGCTGATGGAAATACTGATTATAAAAATGTACAGTTTTATATGTTATTGAAGTGTTTTATTAATGAAATTTTTTTTCTGGTTCATTTTACAACTGCCATTTTACAAATATATGATTTTCAGTTCAGGAGATAGGGTATTTATCACAACTTTTTGTCTAATGATGCTTGAGAGTCTGTGCTAAAAAAATAAATAAAAAAAAGAACTTCTCAAATAGCAGTCATCTTTATTTATGTGTTATATATTTGCAGAAAACAAGACCAACCAAGTGACCATGCCTACTGCAATAGAGCGGTGTGTAAGGAAACAGAATATCCAGTTCATGCACAACAAGAACCAGTTCTGTGTAGAGTATTTCCAGTTCATGAAGAAACTGCTCACCTGTAACCACCTGTACCTAGCCCTGCCACCAGGGATGGAGAAACTGGTGAGTGGCTTCTCTAATGTTTTTAGTTAAACCATATAGAATTCAAAAATACTACTGCAAAATAATGATTTTTTTTTCCAGATAATGCTACTGCAAAATAATAATAACATTTTCCAATTTTTTCTAAGCAATTATTTGTTAAGGGAAGTTATTTTACTCAAGTAAGCATAGTGAAAAATAAAGATTTGAATGAATGTTTTTCATTCTTTGTTTATTGTCTGGTTAACAATTTCAAGAGAAACTCAGTTTTTATCAGTGTTTGTTCCTATTTTAGTCTCCAGAAGCAGAAGAGTTAGCCATGATAAGCATCCAGGTAGCCTCCAAGTTCCTGTTCAGTGTGGGCCTGCACACTAAGAAAACACTGAGGTAAAGATGATTCTCTTATAGTGCTTTAAGAATGTCTGTTTTCTGTACATGTGCGTAGTGAAAAGTCCCACAGGAATGTTGTATTGATATGTCAGGTATGAGAAAGTGTTTGATATTTAGATTCACTTTGTGAAATGAATTTTTTTCATTGATTGATAAGTATTATAAAAGAGCAATGAGGGTACCGCTGAGATGTTATGATCTTTTTGAAAAAGATGAAAAATAAAATGAAATTAATAAATTAGTATCAAACATTTTGACCTTGGTGGAATTTAAGTACTTGCCATAGAGCTGTTTCTTTAAGATATGCCTCTGTCTAAAATTTTTTTTTTTTTTTTTAATTTTCCAGGGGTCCAGCCACAGAGTGGTATGATGCACTCAGTATACATCTCCGCCATAGCAAGAATGTGCGCAGCTGGTTTGCCCACAATGTACTCTTTGCACACCCGTCAAGATTTGCTGAATATCTCCTAGAATGCCCTAGCTCAGAGGTAAGGGGAAATAGCATGATTTATCTATCATGCATCTGTTGTGTACAAATTTTCTTTACTTTAAACACTCTAGTTCAGAAGAAAAAGAAAATAAATACAAAGTGGATGAGAATTTTGATGCCATTTTTTACTCTCTTGAGTAATAAACCATTTGATGTGTAAATTATAGAAAAAATTAATATGGGATTTTTTAAATGAAAAATTGAATGAATAATTTAAAAAGGTTAAACGGTTACTACTCATGTATTAAATTTATTCTAACATAATTTTCTGTTCTATAGGTTCGTAATGCATTTGTGAAGATTTTAGTGTTTGTGTCCCACTTCTCTCTACAAGATGGCTCCACTCCACCTCCACTCATACAGGGACTGTACGGTGAGTTAAGGAAAATCAATTTGTCATGGGATTGTACTGAAATGCCCATTTAATGAATGTTGTAGAATGATGACCTCTTTATGCACAACAAGGCAACCTTGAGAGTCAGTGTTTGCATCTTTTTATGTCAGATAATCTGATTTACTGCCAATAGTTTCTGAACAATTGTTCAAGTCACATTTACATAATGATATAAGGATCTTATTATTTCAGACTCCCAGTTGTTTGATATTTTGTGTTAGGGTATTGGGATTCAAAAGAATTAACTTTTAAACTATCCTCTCTGTGCTCTGAAATTTTAAAATGCTGATGGCATAACAAGAAGTATCCCCCACATGATTTTACCTTACTTTCACTTTCTATTTCAGCTGCTGGCCAGCCTGCTGACCCCGGGTCAACCTTGAGTGACCACATTCTGGTGGCCGTTCTGAACCTACTGAAGAAGGAAGTCTCTGAACACGGCAGGCATCTCACACAATATTTCCATCTGTTCTTGATGTATGCCAGTCTAGGAGTTCAGGAGGTATGTGTATGGAAGTGCTGGGGTGCCCAAGAACCTTCTTTATGAAAATAGGCAGAGATCAAAATATTTCATGTTGATATCTGACTTGCTCTTCCTTTTCAGGCATGCACATGGGCGCGCGCGCGCACACACAACATTAATTATAAATTTCAATAATAGTGATGTATCTCCACCTTCATTTCAGAAACACCAACTGTTGAAGCTGAACGTTCCAGCCACATTCATCCAGGTGGCGCTAGATGAGGGCCCAGGTCCGCCTATCAAGTACCAGTATGCAGAACTGGGCAAACTGTACGCCGTTGTCTCACAACTGGTCCGCTGCTGTGATGTGTCAAGCAAGAGTCAGTCTTCAAATAGTGTAAGTATCAGCTATAGAGGTAGATATAGTTGTCTTCGTTGATGTAATTTATTAATCAGAGAGTATTGCAGACTGATAGTTTTCTCTGGATTCTTCGTAATAATTTGTCTAACAATTTTCATCTGTCTGCAAAAAATTTATGTTCTTAATGTTTGAATTATATTTTTTAATGATTTGTATTATGATAAGTACCAGTTTTGTTGCAGTAGATACAGTTTCAATTTCCTAATGCCATGCTTGGAAGTAGGAAACGAGTATCCCGATGGTTAATTTTATGGCTGATTCTCCTGAGTGATTTCTGTATTCTAGGATCAGCAGCCTATGCCCAATCCTCATGGCGACCCCTCTCCTCTCATGCCTGTACAGCCATTAGTTTCAGACCTACTGTTTGGTAGAACTAGGTGAGTATGTGGGCACATACTGTAGGAGGTTAATCACAGGTTTGCTTGGGGAAAATTATCTGGCACCAAAATGTCATTTACATACACATGGCAACCATATTGAATATGTTAAGTGTGAGGATCACTAAATCGTTGTCACTTCAACTGCATTATAGTGAATTTCATACTAAAACAAACTTTTAAGTCTTTGTGTTCCTTTCGAAATCTGATGTTGATCTGGAATTTTGTTTTTTCAGTTATGTCAAAAAATTAATAGAAGACTGCAACAGTTCTGAAGAAACAACAAAACTATTGAGGGTAAGATGAGGTTCAAGAGTCAGTCTCATTTTTTAATAGAAAAAAACCTCTTGGTTTATTATTGCATAATAATAATAATAACAATTTGAAAGAATGCCCATCCAGTCTTATAATAGTGAGACCTAAAGTAGACTGGATGGTTGTCTGCTTTGATGCCTTCCTTTAACCAATAATGTATTACCAAGTGACATTTTGTGATGGTTTATGTCTGGTAAATTGAAGACTTGTGTGTTTTTCTGTTTCAGTTCTGCTGCTGGGAGAACCCTCACTTCTCCTCCACTGTACTCAGTGAGTTGCTGTGGCAGGTAGGTACTAAAACAATGGGATTAAAGATGACAGGGTAGTTGTAAACAGTTGATGACAGTACATTTCCTTCGTAACCCATCTTATGAAAACCTTTTTGGAATTTCTGATTTTGCTTTTGTCAGTTTGCGGAATTTTCATATGAAAGTGTTTCGGCTAAAATTCATAGCTGTTTTACCTGTTGGTGTGTATTGACATGTAGCTTTCTAATTTTATTTCATGCAATGTCTTGTGTATAGTATAATATATCATACATTAATGTCTATGAAAGACCATATGAATGTTAACTCCAGGTGGCCTATGCGTACACCTATGAACTGAGGCCGTATCTAGACCTGTTACTACAGATGTTGTTACTAGAAGACTCCTGGCAGAATCACAGGATACACAATGCACTCAAAGGTAGGCAGAAAATTTACAGTGACCGTTCAAAGGTTAATGACTATTTTATATTAGATAGAGGTTGGAAATGGGCTGAAATTGTAAATCTGTGTAATATGTAATCAGAAAATGTAGTCAATTTAAGAGCTTGCAGCTGACCTGAAAACTTAAACCCACATATTATCAAGAAGAAAAGCCTACTTTGTTGCCAGTCGGATTTGTGTAGCTTGTCTCTCATTTTGTAAATGATTTGAAACAATAAATTTATATTCCTGTTTCTTATTTCAGGAATTCCAGATGACAGAGATGGCTTATTTGACACAATACAACGCTCAAAGAATCACTACCAAAAGAGGGCATATCAGTGCATTAAGATGATGGTGTCTCTATTTATTAAGTAAGTCTGTGCTTTCATTTCCATGTAGTTGCAATTTTGTTAACTAGTCAGAACATTATTAAGATAATTCACACTTCTTCACTCTTAATTCAAAAGAATAATAAGTTCAAAGCTTTGTTGAAATGACTATATGGACTGAAATTAACCTCTGAATGTGATATCACATAAGTACTGCCCCTGTATTATAGTTACAGTCATTATTCATGAAGTAAATTAAAATGAAACAAAATAAAGCAGATGAATTTCACAGCTCTTATTGGTTTTCTTCACCTACAGTTGTCCAGCAGCAGTGACCATGCTCCAGAACAATGGAGAAATCAAGAGGAAGTGGTCGTGGGCCGTGGAGTGGTTGAATGACGAGCTGGAGAGGGTAAGTCAAACAGGATTGTACGTCTGTGTAGAATTGTGTAGAAATAGGCGTTTTCTATAGAGAAAATGACAGTTTTGTGGGTGAAAGTTTTCAGGATTATGCCCGATTTCAGGATTTTCCATCTTCAATATATGTAATTGCACTTTTTCTTATGGTCTAAAAGCGATAAGAAATTGCAAGCTACATATTCAACATTTTCAGTTTTTACCACTTTCACCCAAGCAGTTTACTTCATAAGGTAGTAAATTGGATTTAAAAAAAGAATATGTGTGGTTATATTTGCCCTGTGTATTATTTCCAGAGGCCATATGCTGGCAACACCCAGTACACATACAACAATTGGTCGCCACCAGCACAGTCCAATGAGACATCTAATGGGTAAGGACCTGGACACTTCATAGCAACATCTGTCTTTTAGGCTGTGAACTCATAGCTTACCAAATGATAAATTTTGGGGAGTAATTGGGGTAGTAAAAAATGAAAAAAGTCTGAAGTTAAAGTAAATCTTGAGCTGCATTCAATTACAATGTTTATAAAATGCTAACTTGTTCATTCTGTTTTTCATGTTCGCTTAGAGTGGAATGCATTGTATCTGTAGCTTCTTTTAAGTCTATAAAGTTTCACAATCTGTAACCAAAGTAATTCTTTTATCATTTGATGTTATTTAAGATGCCTTGTTCTATGACTGTAGGTATTTCCTAGAGCGTTCTCACAGTGCCAGGGTAACACTTGCCAAAGCCTTCGAGTTATGTCCAGAAGAGGTAAGTCCATGATGAAAATAGGTTACATACAATTTTCTTAATCTTCATTTTACTTTGTTCTCTGAATTTATTTATTCAGTTTACTATTATTGTTATGTCCAGAATAGGTAAGTCTCTAATTACAAGGGTTGACATGAATTACATATTCATTCATCATTCAAACTAGTACTTTATTTGTTAATTTTCACAATGTTTTTGGAATTAGAGATGTTGTTATTTATACTAAGATCTCTTAATTTTTTAATCATTTAGGAGGGTGAAGAAGCTGAGAAAGACGGATCTCAGTCACAGCGCTCTGATGACACTTCCTTGAATCCTGGCCATTCTAAGGTAGTGTGATGGTGCTACTGAGAGCGCATTCAGAACAGCAAACTAACAGGTCCTCGGATTGAATATGGCGACCTTCTTTTAATATTGCTGCTTAATTCCCGATTAGACACTGAATAGATTCCCCATGGGGATTACGTAACAAGCATTCAAGTGGGTCGGCCATATTTGATTTGCAGATCTGTTACTCCACTGTCCTGAATGTACTCTGAGGCTCAGTAAAACCTCTAAAATGTATTATGAATTTAGTCCAGGCTGAATTAGATGGAATTGTAATATGGTCATAATGTGTAGCCACAGCACCCACTTTGTTCATGAACAAACACAATATTTTAACAGTAGACATGGACAGAGATAAAGTGACAATTGCAGGTAGGTAAATCGTTTGAGTTTTCAACAAAGGAAGTTTAGTGCTTTTTCTCACTTGTTTTCCCACAATAAAAAAGTAATAATAAATCATAAGAAGATAACTCAAGATAAAAATAAATCTAAAGAAGAAATAAAAGTAGGAACAAAAATCCTAACCCAGTTAAATGTCCATTCCAGGAAGCGGAGGAGTCTGACCTGGGAGACGACAGGGACAGAGAGAGCCCTCCACAGGACAACCTCCCCTCCACCTCGCAGTCCTCCTCCACACAGGGCAAGTCTCAAAAACCAGACCCCGGTCAGTCCTCAGACACTTTCTCCACCAGCACCACCAGCAGCACGAGCCAGGTCCCCAACAATCAGAGTGGGAGCCCCAGCGGTCAGCAGGCACCGGTCATTAACAATCAGTTAAACAATCAGTTACATCAGGAGAAAGTGACCACCACGGAGAAGTCACAAGAGCATTCGGAGGAGGAGGAGACAGTCAAGGAATGAGGATTGGTTTGGGTATTGGTTTGAGGATTAGTTTAGGATTGAGGACTGCTTTGGGTTTGAGGATTGGTTTCATAATGAGGATGAGTGACAGAGAGGATTGCATCAGAAATGAGGATTGTTCAAGAAGGGGTATTGGTTGTGGAAGGAAAATTGATTCAAAGTTTACAATTGTTCTGGAATCAGGATTGGTTGGGAGAGATCAGGGATTGCTGCTAATGATGAAAGTTTGGGAGAAAAAATGGGACTGCTCTACAGTGTAGGAGAAGTCAGGAAATGATGGGTTATCTTCTGAAGGACAGAGGATTGTTTTAAATGTGAAAAAGTGAACCCTCAAGGATAAGATGTGAAAGGGATGCTGAAGAAGTACAGTATCTTTGGCAACAGAAATGTGATCAATAATTTGAGAATTTCTGCAAGTACACTGTAAATTTTTTAAGTTTGAGAAGAAAAAAGTTACTTGATTGTTACAAAAGGAAGAGACTTTTGGTGTATTGGAGATGATATTGGATTATATTAGTGGGCATATGTTACTGCAGTGCAATAGGTGAGCCAACACCACAATCACACCTACTACATTCTCTGGCACACTGCGCCTGCCTTACTGTAGTGTTACAGAAATGAACTTTATACCTCTATGATGGTGTTCTGTGAAACAGAACAAATAAACTGCCGCTCTGTTATAAGAGAATATAATAATATCCACTCTTAAGAAGGGTTAAGAAGGACACAAGGACTTTTCAGTGAATTAAACCCCAGTGGTGGTAAACTTGTGTGGTAGGAGTGGTAGTCCGCTAGGAACTGCAGTTCGTTTTCCATTATTTTGTACAGGGGATATTCATTTCAAATATGAAGCCCGGTGCTTAAAGCTAAACTTATCCTTCACTAATTGTATGGGATCCAGGACTCCCATTCCCAGGGCTGTCATTCCTGTCACACAGAGTTGGGGCATCGGATTGAAAAAAGTTTATATACAAATATTGAGGGCAACTTGCAGTTCAGGTTGAAAATAAGAGTTGAACAGGAGTTAAGTACAGTAAGGTTGAATGAGATCGGTGTATTTATCATTTGACAGAACATCGCCTGTCGCTGCGAACAGAGCATGGTAGGCGCTTGATAATAATCCAGTGCATGTCCACAATTAGATATTTATTAATTAACTTGCTGTGAAAAACGAGCAAGTGCTTGCTGACGTGGCAGTTCTCTGGGATAGAGAGGTGTAGATTTTAGCATACTATAGAATATTTGTGACTGTTGCTTTTAAAAGCTGTTCCATTGTTGCTCACGTCTTGCTGGAGCTGTTAGTGTTGATTATGTTTAGTAAGCATGACCGGGAAATGGAGATATTACATAATTGAGTGTTATGTATACCTACAAGTGTCATGGTCCATTTTTCAATTATTGTGCAGAAATGGACTTTTTTTCTTGTTTATTTTCTTTTTATTGTGCTGGCTGGTAACATGTGCCAGTGTCTAACTTATTCAGAGAATATCTAGCTCTGTGACTGTTTTGATAGTATTGAATTATCGACGTGAACAATAGGTGTTTGTGCTCCTTGAGCCAAGGGCTTGCGAGTAGTTTTACAGTACGAAGGGGAACAACTGTGTTCGTGGCAGAGTTTTTTCACACCCGAATGTGTTAGTTGCAATCCTACAGTCACATCTAACGCAATGTCGGCCTTTGCGTTTATCCAAGAATATCGGCTATTTTCATTCATAACTGTAAATATATCAAAGCCAATAGGAGACACTTATATTTCATTATTTAATATGAAGAACGATGCATAGTATGATTGTACAAAGATTGTATAAAAATGGCTTAGTCCTGTACTAAGAAGTGTGATACGAAGGGAGAGATTGTGTTACTACTGTACAGCCCCCATATCTTTACCATTGCCAGGTTTTTGGCTTCATTGTGTGATAAATGTAATAGTTAGCTGTTTATCTTATGCCCCTCCCCCCTTGTACAAATCCCCCCTCCCCTTTCAAAGCCATGGGTGTCTAAAGATGCTTTCAAATGTTGAGAAGAGAAAGGACGTGTGATCGTATGATGTATTATTATAATTATTAATTATATTAATTAAAATGTTGATATTTTCCACTGTGGCTAATGTATGTGTAATTATAAGTCAAAATAAAATGTTATAAAGCTCTATCTTATTTTAATATAAATTTATTTCTTTGGGGCGCTCATGATGTCGAGAGATTATAGTAAGTCTGGTGGGAAAGAACGGACTTCTAAAGTAAACCCCCTCTCGGATAGCGTAAAAGTGGACCGGTTTAACGTGAGAGTGTCCGCTTCCCATTCATTTGTAAAGGTAAGTTCCACCCTCGATTTTGCCCCTCTTGGGTCAGACCGTCAGGCTAACCCTAACCATTATAACTAAATGGAGGGCGGACTTTCTGTAACACGGACCCTCAGTTTCGTTACTCGGGTACTTGCAGGGTATCGAACGTCGCATCAAAGTATGTTTGGAACAGAGTTGGGAATTTATAAAATGAAAGAAAAAGAGGGTAGGCTTGTTGAAAAGCATAATTTGGGGTAAGTGTGCGGTGCGTTTGCATTAGGGAGCGGGAAATGTATAGAAATGAGGATGGATTGAGGATTTTGTGTAGCGTGTTTCAGTTTATGTTTGTAACTTGTTCGTTCCTGTTATTCGACATTACCATCATGTATATATATTTACCACCAGAATATATTTAAGGTACGCTCCATGAGATTTACCCACCAAAATGAATTTCCCGGTAAAAGAAGCAATTTTCTCGTACTCGCAGGTCATTTGTCTACACCTCTTTGCACTTGGGCTTCATTCACATGCAATGTCTATTTTCTAAATTCTATTTTCTATTCGCACTATCTTATGATCACGGTCTTATAGTAACTTATAGTAACTGGCTCGCGCGGCCAGTAATTACGCAGCGGGATATTCAGGGCACAGACCGTGATCATAAGACATACCGCGAATAGAAAATAGAATTTAGAAAATAGACATTGCATGTGAACGAAGCCTTGGATTCGACCTTTCATAAAATTTATAAAGGTTGATTTTAGCCTGAAAGGACTGGGCAGTCATTTATAACAGCGACCATTTTCCTATAAGCTCCAATGGACGCGCACATAAGTTAACGGTTGACATTATCTTGCAGCCGGAAAATATTTGCCCTTTGAGACGGTCTGAATCTTTAAATGTTCATTTCTTTGTTGGAAAGTTTGGTAAAGAATTAAACTCTTTTTCACGTTTAGAGAAAAGGCCCCGATGTCTTTTTCCTGTTAGACTAAACGAAATATTTAAGCCTGTCTTAAGGGAATATACCATTTAGGAAGCTTAGCCCTCTGCATACCTGTAGGATTTAGACAGGTAAATAAAGGTCCCTCAAAGCGCGCATGCGTACACAATCCATCCTTGGCAACAGCTCAACAATCTCCCGCAAAGGTCAACGTGTGCTATTGAATCTATTGACTCAGTGCACTGCTATAGCCATATTGGAACTGTTGAAAAAGTTTAAGGACATCTCACGCACCCGTAGACAATATTGATCTAGAACGCCGATTAATTAACCAAAAGTCTGTTCACGAGGGCACGATCGTAGCCAGAAAGTTCTTTTAATTGTGTGAGTCTCTTGATCAAGTGACAGAAACGCCATGGATTAAGAAAATCTCACCTGTAGTACCTGTGCAGATTACGAAAGTGAAGGAAGAAGCAAGGCGCGGAAGATGGCCGTTGACAGTCTGTGTGTGGGGGACTTGGTGTTCCTTTACTCAGAGGACGCTCATGGATATGTCCACGCCACCCAGTCAAGGTGGGTAAAGGAAAATCGTTGCATTAATTAACACCTAGCGAGTCTTTAAGTTAAGTTCTTATCACCTTTTACATTCATGCCGTTAAATACCCATGCTTAATTAACCCTACCGTCGTTGCATTTCTGTCAAAGTTTGAATCTCTCTAATTCAAGCCCTTGTCCTTTACAGGTGGCTTATCTGCTCAGTTTCATTTACTCGAGCAATTATAACTTTTATCAAACTTTTGGAAGCCCCCTTCCCCTCACCTTCAAACACGCATACATATTCTAACCTCACTCCTAGGCGCCGTCCCTGATTTGACTTGATTGATGTTATTTTTAGTTGATAGACGTACCTTGTATTGTAGGCCTATACATCTTAGTTGCCACAACCACAACCCAGGTAGACATAAGCTCGGAGATGTAATAAAAAATCTGATTAAAAACGATTTGTTGATCCCACCCTGAAATTCATCGTCCCCAGGGTGACTTTTTTTAACTCGGAACGCGACTGAACATGACGTTTACTACAGGGTGATCACTACATTAATGGCCAATTACGAATACCGACATCAATTTACGGTTAAAATAATCTTCTTTGCGACTATTTCCTAATCCGATTATAATGCCATGGAAATACGTAAATCAACAGAGATTCGGCTAAAGTTAAAGGGATAACGACTGTTCATTTTGGCCAAAAAATGTATTTTCCTGGGGTAAACAACAATTTTCCCATTCTGACCAATGGTTAATGAATCCATTTCTACATTCAAATTTAGTCCCTATTTTTTTTTTTAGAAAGTTTGCTTTTTTGTAATAATCTCTTAAGAGATCATTACAGACTTTCGCCATCTATGGAGGTCACATGGTCGGATGACAAGCACAGATTTTAGAACAATTGCTTTGACTGTCATTTTTGGTGGTGAAATAGAACATATTATATTTCCTTGAGTTGTTTACAATGTTTTTATAGTAAAATATAGATTTCATACGAAGAGTTGTTATCCCTTTAAGGGACAATATTTGCAAAGCTTAATGTTCAATACAATGCGCGGACGAAGGTGTAGGGTAGCTTTTCGTAAATTTATAAAATGATCATGGAACATTCATGAAATAGGATATCTGATTATTAAAAAGTTACTGACACTAAATAATAGTCTGTAGACTCTCGTCAGGAAGCCATCCGAGCATAACTGCTGTGGTTCTCTACTCCTAAATGTACTTGTTTTATTTATTCATTAGATGGCCTTTTTCAGTCAAAGTCACTTATCTTATTGATTGATGCTTTTCGCTTACAAAAACGGCTGACAGGGTCGCTGGCTTTAGATTTTGTGAGGAAATCTCCTGCTTATCTCTTCGTCCTAAATGTTTGTCTATGTTGATATGCATCACTGAACGTTTTATACTACATTAGTGCCAGATTAATTAAAGACGTAGATGCTAAATTATTGTCGCTAATTACCCCGTGAAACAGATTTTGATCACGCATTCGATACTTTACCTTACTGCCCTCTGTCAACTTCGCACATTTATTCAGTCATTCAGAACTTTGTATCAAAACATAATTCTATTGTAAATGATGAGTACCGTCTACTATCACGAATACTTCCACGAACAATAATCACGGCAGTATAGTCATATAACACTAACCGATGTATAATTTGGCATTACTTTTTTTTTCAAACAAACACGCCTCTGTGCTTTAAAATGTGTCGAGACTGTCAATTTGTACCTATGATTCCCGATTTTATATCCCATAAAAGCAAGAGCCAAAAAAGAAACCAAACTTAATACATATATCGTGAATATCAAACATGAGAATTTTAGGGACAGTACATATTTCATGTCTATCTTCTTCTTTTGCCCCGGGGTTCGCCATGATATGTACCGGGTGTAACATTCACGTGCGTAAGACCATATGTATGTGTCCAAACATCCCTGATAAAGGCTTATTTATGAACTTTCACATCCTGTATTTATTGTATCTTACGAGTTGGGAAAGCATTCACCATATCATACTTAAATGGAAGAAAAAGGCTCTACAAACGTCATGAAAGACACAAAAATTGCTTTTTTAATTAATTAAGCTAACGAAGCGCTCTCAAGGCATTATTCTATGTTTTGCAGCTGTCGATCGCTCTTTGAAACGTCCAAAGATTCGATTAAATATTTAGTTTTTGGGCGAAGTTTTTAATCTGAAAGATGCTGCGCCTGATGTGATTATACTGGTCTAATATATGTTTATATCATAACCAACGAACCGTGATCATATTTAACTGGGTAAAAAACAAAATATATGATATGATATGTTATCTGAACAATAATTCATATACATAACTACCTAAAAAATTACTTTTAGAAGCTTACATATACATGTACCATGCTAAACTCTCAGAGACACGAGCCGACAAAATATCAAGTCAATCAAGAATAAATAGCTAATGCCAAAACAGCAACTCTAAAATTAATGAATTTTGCCAAATAGTAAAGCTAAAATCAAAACGCTGTAGTGAAAAAGAGATCTCTGTACTGCATTCTTTTCTTCCCTAACTCTGTCACTGTACTAGCTAAAAGTTAACCCGAGGTCTTGTTTGGTCAAATCAAATCCTACGCAGTAAACTACTACATAAAACTACTGTTGAGTTAGGGTTACCCGGGGACAGTTGCTAAAATGTACACTTCAGTTGTGTTTATGATGTGCATGTGATCAAATATCATGGTATAAGTGACTGTTATTGTAAGGTGAGATTTTCCAGCAGAATGTGAGCTATATATATATGAAATTCATTCGTCTGGCAATTCAATGGTCTTCTTTTCTCAAATGACGGAGTGGGCCCTACTTACATTTTTGCTATTCATTACCCTTTTTTATATGGTGTAGACTCAGGTGTAAGTACAAATCATCCAGAAGACAATCATGAGTCCGTTTCTCTCTCCATACATACAAATTTCTCACACAAACACACACTAACGCGCGCGCGCGCACACACACACACACACACACACACAGAGAGAGAGAGAGAGAGAGAGAGAGAGAGAGAGAGAGAGAGATCCAGTAGGGCTACAACAGAATGGAGGTATACAGCCTCGTGTTACCGTTATGCAATCGATTTAGATCGATAAACCATACTTAACAACGGGTAACTGCACATCAACACACTGCCTTTAGAACAGGTGTAGGCTTACTTGTTATGTCAACACTACCTTCACGTCGTGGGTCTTCAACTCCTGCCAGACACTTCTCAGTGACCTTAATGCGTGATTAAACACTGATATGATTGAATGAAAATTAGGAATAGTTGGATGTCTATTTGATGTTTTACTTGACACAGGGCTGCTTCTAAATGAACTTACCTTGTATGCCCGTTTGGTTTCCTGAGCATAGACATAGAATCGGAATTGAATTCCTCATTGATCTGCCATTTAGACCATTGTGTGCAGAAATGCATACATTTCAGAAAAAATGGCCCAGTTTATGATTTTGTCTTTAAGTTAGCATAGGCCTAGTGTATAGGCCTTTTTTCTTTTTTTTTTTTTTTATAATTAAGGCGCCAGTGGCTGTGAAATACGCATATGATAAGGCTTTTTCGCTATATTTCCCTTGATTTCACATAGCCTATACTTGAATTCTTCCTTTTGTTATTGGTTATATTAGTGAAAATTTTATAAAGAAAGAAAGAAAGAAAGAAAGAAAGAAAGAAAGAAAGAAAGAAAATCTCGCTATAATGGGTCTTGGTGGGTGTTGTCGAATTTTGATATTTTACTATTATCGACATTTTCTACTTTTTAGAATAACCTAAAGGTATGTTTGATTAATATTCAATAATATAATAAGTTAATAGGCCCCTATATCACACAAAAATTTGTTGAATGAGGTTCCCTTTCCCGTTGTAGCACTTTTTCATTGTTAAAGGTGTTTTTCCTAGGCTATATCACCCTTACCAATCTCTTGAAAAACGAACTATTGTAGTCTGAAGTATCTACACTAAACATTTGATATTGAAGGAGCAATGATCGAGATGTTTCGTGTAATTTCACGGCTTATCTTGAAAAGCAACCCGTAGACTCTTCTCTGTGTGGAGGTATAAGGCGGGTTGTAACCATGCACGCTAAAAGTGTGGGTTGTAAAATTATGTTTTACACACATTTTAATAGCAATTTCGGTGCGTTGCTGTTTTTCTCAGTGTAAATAATGTTTAATTAAATAATGTTTAATTGTTATATATGAACTATTATATTTCCTTTCTACCACCAGATGTTTTGCATCACTGGTTCATTTTTTTTTTTGCAAAGATATTTTCATCTCCACAGCTACAGTATTCAGTAGACGGTAACCCTGAGTTCTCTACTTTCAGTACCATCCACTCAGAGGTGGCGGTAGGCGCAGGACAGGACAGAGAGAAACCAAACCTACCAGATCTTCAGGGTGAGTGGGTAATATGGGGGTTTCAATTATTAAAACCAAATTTATATATATATCTAATTCGTAATTGGCAAGGTGATGTTTTGAAACTTCCACATTTAATATGTGTAGTACTTTAGCCGCTACTAGTTTGCATTCACATTTTCAGCTTTTAACAAACGTGTATCAATGTCATAATGCATTTAATGTACAATTAAAATTGTCAAAACTTTGCTTTAATTATAACTTTAATTATATTAAATTTCAAATGATGCATTCGTTGCTTTTTTTTCCCAGTTATTTCATTTGAGATCTGTGTAGCTAACAGATACAAATTGAATAAGAAGTACCGGAAATTAAAACAAAGGCATGACCAGGATCCAACTGGCAAAATAAAGGAGGCAGAGCTTCGAGATGCAAAGGTAAGCTATAACAATTAAATATCCAGTTCCCAAAAGTAGTCAGTTATTTACGAGAATGTTTTGGCTATAGGATATCTGGAGTGTGTATCTGATGCATGCTGTAACGTCAGTTTTTGCTGCAATTTTCTGAAAATCCCAACCAGTAACTTGCAATAATTTAATCGTAACTGATCTGTTGTGACAGTAGTTAGGTAATTACATGTTTATTTATGAAGATGAAATAAATCATTGTATATTGTATAACATATGTATATATATTATATTATCAGGCTGCTGCTGATGCTGAGAATGAGGACAATATTGCAGAACAGAGGAGACAGAGGGGGAGAGAGGTGCTCTATGGGCAGATTATACAGGTAAGTTAAATTATTATATAAGAAATTTAGCTATAAATAATTATAAAGGTATGTTGAATATTTTTTTAAACAGATAAGTATATAAGTAACTGTGTTGCAAAATTATCATGATGGTAGGTTAAGTGGTTATGCAGGTGAGCTAAGTGAGCATAATGGTTACTAGTAGCTAAATATCATACAGTTTTGAGCTAAATACACATACAGACAAGCCAAGCAATCCTGATTGACTAAATCATATCTGTATGTAAAGTAAATCATCCAACAGGTAGGCTTAATACTGTATTTGTAAGCATACATTTACATTAGACGACACAGAGGCAACTAAAGATATGGGAATTGCACAAGTGAATTTAAGTTAGCATCATGTATATGCCATTTTAAGATATAAACCAATAGCCATAAGAAGTATAAAGGATTCATACTTGATAGCACAAAGACTTTTAAGTCTTTGTTAAAACAAATGTGAGCTTGGTAATTGATTCTGTACGGGGAAATATAAGGCATTATACATATCTTCTGTTTAACTGTTGGTACACATGCTGCTGTATCTTTAATATCTGTATTCTTAAACAGTATAAAGGGTTCATCCTTGACAGCATTAAGACTTAACTTATTCCACATTGGTCATTGATTTTGTATAGGAAGATATGGTACAATAGGTGTAAAGTTGCACAAAAGTGTGCAGGAAATATTGATTGAAACTTTTGTGTCAGGACTGTAGAAACTGTCTAACAGGAAAAGATAGTTGACTGGAAGAGAAAGCTTTGCTTTATTGGGGAACACAGTGAGGAAGCTGGCATCAATTACTGCTAATGCAAAGGAGTCAATTTTTACGTGTAAATTTTGATGCTTATGTTTCCCAGAAGAAGTGAGAACTTGATACATGTAGTTAGCAATGAGCTAGGTATTTTCTCTGTTTGTTCTCACTGACAGAAAGCCAGTGCATATCTTGTACAACTTTAACAAAATTACCAAGAAAAAAGGCCTATAGCCAGCAGTTTCAAAAGAAGTTCTTTTTTTTTATTTTAAAGTTGACCTTTTAATCCCCAGTTGTTGACCCAACTTTAGAAATGACATAAAACCTAAACAAAATTTTGATGGAGAACCGAATTAAAGGCCATTTACGTCCAAAAGGCCGGTCCTTTTGAACAGCCCTCCTCAAACTCTCATGCCTACGTGCCATAAAAAAAGAGGAAAATTTTAAACAGTTAGTGTGTGGGAGGGAGAAGAATGAGGAAAATAGCCCCAGTTCTATTGTGGAGTTATTTGTGAGTCATGGACCTCTGGGTTCTAACACAATGCTACCATGGGCACAGGTGAAATAACATGCATTTTTATATTGAGAACAATGTGTGAAAAGCATGAACTTGAAATAAAAAGGTGAAATCAAAGTCACCTTTATTTTGTAACTTTTTAGTGCAGACAGGGATGTAGTGTTCTTGACTCTAAAAAATTTATCAGATTTTTTTTAAATAATCTTTTAACATGTTTGTGTTAGATTGTGATGGATCACAGGCTGGTAGCCGGGGGGGGGGGGGGGGGGGGGAAAAAAAAAAAACCCCCTTTTTTTTCCTGGAAAAGGCCCCCCTGGGGGAAAAAATTTTTTGGTAAAAATTTTTTTTGTTTTTCTGGGAAAAANGAACTCAAAAAAGGGTAAGGTTACCGTGTTTTAGTAACTTGATAGAAATAAGGAACAAAAATAAACCCATGCACTGTAGTTATAAAAATGCAGATTCAAAACACCACCTTGCATGCCAGTTATTATCTTGTTTACCAAGCAGGGCATTCTTCAAGATTTTAATTTTATTTTTGTTTTAATTCCATTTGCTTCACTTAAATGAATCAGAAGAAAGACATATTAATTTATTTTAATGGTTAGCATATGAAAATAAACATGATAAAATAAAAAAGTGGCATGACTTAGCCAGCCAAGAGGGTTTTAAATGTGTTTGTTTAAGTCAAGTGCATTTAAGTCAGGTTGACTGTTTTGAAAAAATGAATTCACCTGAAGGAAAATTGCTTTATGTATTCACCTATAGTGTTGTTGTGTTTTTGCTGTGCCTATGCTAATAGTAACAGCAGTAAAATGTTTGCTTGAAAATTACACGGCTGGTTCAGACAAGAATTTCGCCCAAGTTTAGGCCGTCAGTGTGTTAATTGGTTTATAAACTCGGGTTTCATATATTTGAAGAGTGAAATGCTTTATCTTACTGATACACTAACCATCTTTTGCACTCACAGAGAAAACCATATGCCTCATATATGTACTATATGTATAATCCTGTTAATCACTTAATTTTTGGACATATTGGCCCATTTATTTAGAAATTATCCCCATTTTTTTTTCATTTGGGTACTAAAACAACCCAAAATTTGAAGTGTAGCCTTAACTTGTGCAAATCTTGTCTTTGTCAAATGTAAAAAGTTGATATTGCATATACCTGCAGATCTTTGATTATATAATTTCTAACTATTCTAATAATGAAACAAAAGTGTTGGTGAAATGGGGTTTGGTAGAGAAGTGTCTTGCAAATTTATAATACTGACAATGAAAAGTGTAGCTATAAGGCAATGTTTATCTACTTCTTTGCTGTAGAACTGTCACTACAGCAAGAAATGTCTTCCTTTCAGCTGTCATGTTTCAGATACAGTACATATGTACTATAGTCAAATTACATATTTATATGGGCGTTTGAGTCAATGGCGCCTTTAGCCATATTCCTCTTGAATTGAACTGAGTGTTCAAAGCTTACATAATGGATGTAGTCACCATTATTTCTCTATTTGTCTGGTGGTCAAGGGATCCAAGGACTCTGTGTGTTTAGTGAGACCAAAGGTTGTGTTGACTATACAGATATTGCCTTGGGATTAATTTTTACTTGTGTGTGAAATAAATTTGATTTAAGTTGAAAAAGGTCAAAGTTCTGTCTTTTTTAACATTTATCATTTTTATTTTTAATAGCATATTTATATATTTAAATTTTTAATCAATAGATAGCTTGCTTTTGTGCCTTTGGAAGATCATTTGCTACTCAGTATATAAAATGCATCACTTGTGGTTTGTTCAAGGGTCAACTTGTTAAAAAAAGATTAAAAAAACATTATTTATTTGTTTTTTTTTATGTTTCAGTTACGCCATGTATTTACCAACAAGTTCATTCATGTCAGCTCCACACAGACATCACGAACAGAAACCAGTAATATGAAGGTAAAACATTTTGTTATGTGTGCTTTTGAAAGAGTGGTAACAGTTGTCAGTTGTACACATGAATTTCAATTTTTGCTTGGAATGTTCAAACAATAGCTGGGCCAATTTTAACTAATTGATATGAAGGTTAAAGGTAAAGAATACTCTTCTGTTTAATCTGAGATAAAAAATATCTGTTAGGAGTGTTAGGAATTGTGTATGATTTTTTTTTCATGGAGTATGGTATTCCAAAACATTACCTAATTTTAAGATGATATACAAATTGCTTAACCTCTTTTCTGATAAGATTGAGCTTATATTAAGGATTATAAAAGGACAATTTGAATAGCAGTTTTGATATCTTTATGATTGTTATAACATAATTGTAACTATAATTTTGATATCCTTGTGAAAAAAATACTGTATCATGTTCAATATTCAGGTGGATCTCCTTAGCTACAATGCCAAACATGCAGAGTACAGAATTATGCCTCGTTATAAAGTCAAGTCAGAGGGAGATATTGTAAGTAGATTGCAGCTTTTTTCTAATAGTAATAATAGTTATTATTGTAATGCCAACAGTATATTTGAGACTGTGGATGTTGTGCACCATTAAAAACAATAAAAATAGAAAAATAAAATTAATTACCATTATGATTATGTTATTTAATACGAGATTATATTACTATTAAATGTTACATATCTTTAATAAAAATTGAAACAGTTTGAAATAGTCTTATTGACAGAAAAATATTAGTAGTACAAGTTGCACTCAAACAATTCATCAATTTTTATCTAAGTTGAATGAGAGTTCCTTATAATATATCACAGGAGATAAATATATATATGTATGCACCACGTATATTTGTATGTCCGCTAGGTCCAAGTAGAGGATCAGATTGTCCTGGAGAGTGTGAAGACAGCTGGGCAGTACCTCAGTGTTAGCAGGTCACATTTCAGTGGCAACCATGTCTATTCTGGCTGGTGAGTACGTCGTGATCTGTGTGTGTGCATGTGTGCGTGTGCATGTGTGTGTATGTATGTGTGCATGTGCGTGTGTGTATGTTTGTATGTGTATGTTTGCATGTGAATGTGTGTGTGTGTGTGTGTGTGTGTGTGTGTGTGCATGTGTATGTGTGCACGTGTGTATGTGTGTGTGTGTGTGTGTGTGTGGGTGTGTGTGTGGAGGAAATGTAAGAAAAAATATTGAAATGAACTTTTCTTTTCAATGGTGACTTGAACTTGTAGACCTCAAACTTGAATTGGCTGCAGACAAAATATGGAGCTTATTGGAAATTAATCTTAAACAACCACTACTGAACTTTTATACCAATTGTACTAGTCAATTTCTTCAAACCAGTAGCTTACATTATAGACTATGATACCAAAGGAAGTATGCTGTCACAAAGTTGAAAATAAAGGCATTTTTAACAAATTTTTAAGTTAAAAGTATTCAAATGTACTATCCTTACTCCAAAAATTTTGTGAAATAGATAAAACAATATAATGACATTGTAATTATAATTTCAGTCATGAGTTGAACCTGTCTGTGCGTCACTCTGGTTTTACTGTCTACAGACATCTTAAGCCTGGCCCAGAGAACGAAGACAGACTCCTGGTAGGTATACACTTAAGTTATTTTACTAATTTGTTTGAAAAAATCAAGTAGCATTGTCCAGAACTGTGCAAATTTACAAAAACTTCAGTGATACAAAAGCTCAAAGTTACTGACACCCCTTATGTATTTCAATGCACATAACACAATCTCACAATTCATACTTATCTTGACTGCTTATAGTTTGTCATTTAAATTTTTTTCTGATACTAGAAAAAGACATTTTATTACTTGCAGATATATAAAACTTGTTATTAAAAATTACAACAAACAATTTTTTAAAATTTATAATTTTGGAATGCGAATGACTGTCAATCATTAGAGACTGTGAAGTGAACATAGTTGTTTCCACTTGGTTTCTAGCCTGGTGCTCCCATTCAGCTCTTCCATAAAGACATAGAAGCCTATCTTGTGGCCGAGGGGTCATTTGATGAGGCGCTGGTAGAGGATGTTCATTTACGAGTACGACAGCTCAATCAGAACAATCCACGGACCCTCTATCCTTCTTCCTCCGCCCTCACGTACTGGCAGGTTGAGGCTGCGGAAAGTGTTATTAAAGGTAGGTGTGAGACAATTGCATCAGTGCTGTAGGTGTGACTTTTATGTAAAACTAGACATTGTGTTAGCTGTGACAGTGTGTTATATATGATAGTGAGTCAATGTGATGAATTAAGTGAAGCATGATAGTAAGATGTTCCAGGTTAAAAGGTATCTTAGACCCCATTCCCAGAGATTAGATTGATCCAACTAGATCGACGTAACTCCCTAAATAGCTGTCAGCCGAGCGGGCACAAAAGTTAACTACCCCCTTACAGCTTGTAGTAGGCGGGACGTACATTTAAGCCGGATTATCTGACAGCTAATCTAGTGAGACTCCCCACGGAGATAGATGGATCTAAAATCTATGGGAATGCGCCCTTAGAGAGTAGACTTCAGTAGATTCTAGAATTTAAGATGGGTGGCAATTAGTGTGAGTGACTATGTTTAAGGCACCTTAGTTTTTAAGAATGTGATATGACTCTTATGTAGACATTATCTTCCTATTACTGGGTGTAACAGTGCCTTGGATGCAGTGATTAAGTCTTTTTAAAGATGTCATTGTAAACAATGTTGACATGTTATTTAAAGCCAGCCATAACAACTTCTTTTTTCCTCCACCAGGTGGGGTATTGAAGTGGGAGCAGCAGTGCCGTCTGAAGCACATGGTCACTAGGAAGTACCTTACAGTGGACAGCAACATGAAGGTCACCCTGACCTCCGACACCGATCGCAGGACCATATTTCGGTTACATCCAGTTATTAAGGTAGGGTTGATGTATACTAATTATTTCCAATTCCTGTGCTAATAAATAAATAAATGTCTTTTAACAGATGATAATTATGCCTATGGGCTGGTCACTTGATGATGGCTCGATCACCTAATGGTTTCCCTGCATGAGGAAAAAGGTATAGCTGTTATAGTATGATATATGATTCTGTTCTTTATGACTTGTGACTTGAGGTCAGATTTATACAATGTTTACTAAGGTTTGGAATGTGCCATTTTTGTCAGTAATTATAGTTGACTTTTGGACCATGCCAATACATATATGAGAAGTAGTAAATGCATGAGGCTGACTGACTTTCTCATACATAGTATAAACCAAAAAATGTACATACTATTGATAAATAATTAAATAATTTTTTTTGCTTACTGTAATACTGTCAGAATCAACTGAAGTACTGGAGAGGGAAGTCAAATAATGCATGGCTTATTAATCCATGCAATTATTTCAAATTAAAGTTAACATTTTTAAGAATAGAAGAAGATTTATAATTGTTGAGCATTCTTTGACATACATCTTAGGCTTTCTGGCACAATGGAGTGATAATGGTAGGGAATGACTTCATTGTGTTGGGTGTGATAATATTGTATTGGGTATGACAATATTGTGCTGGGTGTGACAATATTGCGTTAGTTGTGACAAAATTGTATTGGTTGTGGTAGTGAGGTATATGGCCGTCCTCACTTTTTGTTTTGAATTAAATGAGATGTTTCTGCAATTGAGTGCATTAGAAAATATGATTATATATTCTGTTTTGAATTACAGAAATTGCAACACTACTTCCTATTTTATCCGTTTTTTTTTTCTTATTTTTTGTATTGTGTTTAAGTTATGAATGGAAGCTAACCAGTTTATCAAAATGCTTGTCATAGTTTTTGTGTGGAAGATGAATTAATACATCATGCCCAATGCCAAAACAACTGCATTCAAGAAATGAACCTATGCCAATTCACTAATAGTACCATCTGTTGCACAACAAATATGAAATACTGGAATTGTTGTCACTATGAGTATTTTTATTTCTCTGAAAATATCACCCACATTTACATTATCAGAACCAGAAAGTAGATCGTGAGAACACCCGAAAGGGACCCAAAGGGTTAAAGGTAATGGCTGCTATGGTGGCTGCTGGGAGTTGCTTGCCTGTGAGATTATAATCGCCATTTTCTGTAACAGTCAATAGCACATGAATTGATGGTGTGATTTTTAGATGGCCTGACACATAACGATTGATTTTCATGGAAATTTTTTTGCTTGAAATAGTCAGAATTAATCCAAATAAGCTTTTTGTGTGCCGTCACCATTATTGACCCTTGCCACTTACACCACAAATCACAGGTGTTGAATTATTGGTATCATAATGTTTGGATTTGATTAACTGCTTGTTTTTGCTATAGCAGTAGATAAACTTTAAAGATATAATTTAATGTTGAGAAACACCACTTTTTTTAAGCAGAGGTAAAAAGGATAATGCATCGATCACTTGAAATATTCTTCACTCGGTTTGTTTTGCCATTTGAATACAGCCATGCATTTTTATTTTAGATTTTAATTTAATACATTTGTGTTGCTTTTTATTCACTCCGCATAAGTTAAAGGACTTATATTAACTAACTGAGTATATTAGATTATCATTTTCTTAGTATCAGAGATATTGGTAACTTTTACAATTACACCACTGAAATGTTTTAATTATCTGTCCCTGAAACAATCATAATTTATAATTCTGATATACGCTTAGCATTTCAAACATTTCAAGATATGCAGATATTTCAGATGTGTTGACATCGAAGCTAAAGACAGCAATGTCTGTGGATAAAATTTATCTGTAGTTATTTGTATTATAAAAAAGACAACAATAAAAAAAATATCTATTTTATGTTCCAGGAAGCAGACTCCATAGACTATGGTACTTACTGCAGAATAGAACAGGTGGTTACGGGATACTGGCTTCACGCTGAACCTGGTAAGTGGCCTGTCGTACCGCTTCAAAGATATTCTTGTTCATATTTAAGAATTGTGGGGGGTCAACTGAGAATTAGTTATTATAATAACTTTCTTTTTTATTATATGATAATGATAATTTATTGAGCATTAAATGCCGTTATACATTTATGGGTTCTCTTAACTATTGTTTATAATAACTACAATATGGATTAACAAAGAACACGTTTTGCATTAATTTCATAATCACAACAAACACATTATATGTGTAACTGGGCACATAAGAGGCTTAGACCCCATTTCCAGAGATTAGATCGATCTACTTTAGATCAACCTAACTCCCTGGGGGTTCACACTAAATAGCTGTCAGGCGAGCGGACACGAAAGTTAATTACCCCCTTACAGCTTGTAGTAGGCGGGACGGACATTATAGCCGGATTATCTGACAGTAATCTAGTGAGACTCCCTGCGGGGATAGATCGATCTAAAAGCTCTGGGAATACAGCCTTAATTTCTGTTGGTGATGTAAGCTTTCTGTATTCTAGATGAATATGTGAGACAAGACGACAGAGTGCATTCCCAAGGTGATGATACATCTATGGAGGGGTTGAAGTGGACAATGGCCAGCCTGAGAAAGGTAGGATTTCATTTGGTTACTTGATTATTAAACTACAAGAAAGGGAGGCATATTTTTGCTGGGGCCTTTAGGTGAAACTTTTTAATCTTGTCACTGATCTTGATATTGCTGTTAGTGCCAGAGTATGACTGTTGACAGTTATTGAATTTGAGCTTAGATATAATTATTATTTCAAATAGAAGATTTTGCTTCTGAAAAAAAATTATAAAACAGTATATATTAAAATGAAAGAAAGTAGAGGTCTTACAGTGATTAACATGATTTACATTACATAATGCATATGTTTTTAGGTGTCTGTAGAAAAAGAAATGCAGTACAATGATGCGTTCACCATACAAAAAGTGGCCCCAGACCTGGTGGAAAACTTCAACTGCATGGCGGGCATGGTGCCTTTTCTACAGAACTTGATCAAACAGGTCAGAATGCATTTGTGTGTGTGTGTGTGTGTGTGTGTGTGTGTGTGTGTGTGCATGTGTGTGTGTGTATGTGTACAAGTATGTGCACACACTTGCGTGTGCATATTTTGCTTACATGCATGTTGGTGTGTGCATGTATGTGTGTTCATACATGCATACATGTTTATGTTTGTGTTGGTGGTGTTTGAATGGAGATGAGTATATTAGGCCAACTACAAACACTTAGACCCCATTTCCAGAGATTAGATCGATCTACTTTAGATCGACCTAACTCCCTGGGGGTTCACGCTAAATTGCTGTCAGGCGAGCGGACACGAAAGTTAATTACCCCCTTACAGCTTGTAGTAGGCGGGATGGACATTTAAGCGGGATTATCTGACAGTAATCTAGTGAGACTCCCCCCGGGGATAGATCGATCTAAAAGCTCTGGCAATACACCCTTAATAGGCATTTATCCAATGCATGAAAAACTTGTGTGTATATGGGTACATATATAGTGACTAGTTGAATGGGATTAGTATACTAGTACATGTATGTGTGGTTAAACAGTATATTTATGCAAACATACGGACTATTTGCATGTTTATTTTTACAATTATTGCCTGAAAAGTTATGAAAACGTTATGACACATTTTTCTTCTTGTTACTTGCAGAAAAAAGCTGGTCAGAATTTAACAGCCAAACAAGCCCAAGACATCAAGGCTGTAAGTATGATAATATAGCACGCAAACCCTTGTAGACAATTTTTAAGGGGGTTGGACAGGGGGCTATTTTTAAGTGGACCTTTTCGCTGTAACAGCATACAATGTACATCACAACTTGATTCAGAGCAAGCCTTTTCCAAATTAAAGATATACCTGCCTGTCATTTATTTTATAAATTATCTATTTTAACTAATGTATTTTTCCCTATTTTTAATACACAGCACTGACATACATTAGAAAAACTGAGCCCTGTTAAATTTCATTGGTTTTTTGATGAGTTACTTGTTTGTTCTTTCCAGTCCTTGAAAGAGATGTCCAACTTCATGTTTCTGAACAGTGAACCCAGTAAGAAAAGGCAGAAACTGCTCAGAAATCTTCGGGTAAGGGTTTACTGCTTTTTATTCAATATTAAAATATCATGGCCAAATGTATTGTAAATAATTATAAAAATACAGAAACTAAATGAGAAAAGATTTAATTTGCTAGACTTAAGAAGTTCTGCTGACACTGAATAGCATGTTGGGAAATAGACAAAAATATGAGATATCATTATGATCATGTGATAAAATTAAATGTTAAAACTTTTTGAAATATTTTTTTCTCCAGATTGTAGAGCTGCTGGTCAAAGTGTTGCTGATACCATATGTAGGCAGTAATGACAAAAGGTTAGGAGATTTCTCTTTTGTGTCTTTGTATGATATTGATCATCTAGTTTTGATAATCAAGATGTCTTCTGTGATAAGATATTTTTCTTGATAATGACCTTGTAAAATAATTATCATTTCTGGCCAATAAATCCTGTCCTATTTAACTTTTTCATTTGATAATTGATATTATTATTTACAAGAGGACTTGTAATTAGGGTAGAAAATATATGTAACCTCTATGAAGCTGTAAGTAAAGCGCCCTGAGTTTCAGAGTAAAAGACAATCCTCTTTTTTACCAGCATGCTCTCAGTGTTTCTGATAAGCTGCTATTAATGGAGATGTTGAGAGGAGGAGAGTCTCTGAAAACACTGTGAAACACAGGGTTAAGTTATCAGTGAAAATAAACAAGGTTTACACTTTTACATCACTAGGCAATAATTAACAAATTTTTTTGTTTCTATTGCAGATATCTTATAGACATTTTCATAGAAGCCTATGATGTAATGAGAGCTTACCTGGTTGGAGATAGTAGGAAGAATGAGCTGTACATTGCTAAGCACATTCCTTTCTTCCTGGACAGAATAGAACAGTCTCAGCACACAAGAGACTCCCATGAAGTAAGTGTCTGTCTGTCTGTCTGTCTGTCTCTCTGTACAACCATTCTGCGACCCTTTCTCCTTTTTTCTCTCCTTCTTTCTCTCAGCTGTTTGTCTCTCAATTATGACGAAGGGCTTAATTATTCCCATTGAAATAATCATAGATGGATCTAACTTTGAAGGGACTCTTGCTGAATGCAATCAGTTTAACAGATTAACCCGCCTCTTATTGCCAACTCTCTCTTGTAATCACCAGCTTTTCTGTATTCTGGTCAATGATTGAAGCGATCATACATGATTTTTATAATACTTATATCTTTTTTTATCTAAAATTTAGTTCATTTTGTACTGGCCTTTAACTCTTTAACATGTCCCTTTATTTTGTGTAGGAAATGGTCAGTTTACATGCTGCCTACATGGTCACTGAGCTGATTAGGGACAACAGGAAGATAGTGGACAGGATGACCACTGCCCACATTGACAAGTTTATGAATTTGTTGAGAACTAAGAAGGTAAGGTGATAATATATTTATGGCATCATTTCATTCGTTCTGTGTCTGCATATGAATGTTTGCCAGTTGATGATTTCATGATTTGAAACTTAAACAGGAGAAAGGCATGCTTGCATGTTTAACTAAGTAAGTCTTTTTATTGGACATGATGAGATTATTTAATATATTTATCTCTATTAGACTTTGAACAATTTTGTTGACGATGGTTAATAATCATTGAATATTTCTGGCCAATATATCATTGTTGAAGTTTATTAAATCCAAATATTTGCTACCAATCCTTCTAAAGCAGTAGTGTTTCAGTAATGTGTCTGCTCTGATGCCATTCCAGTGAATTATTCCAATTATCTCATTCCAGAACTACCGTTACCTGGAGTTACTCAGTGTCCTCTGTGTTTGTAACAATATTGCCATACCTAAGAACCAGACATATATCACAGATGTCTGGCTGAAGGACAACCAAAAGGTATGCAATATTACATTTCCTTTTTTTCCTCACTTTCAATTATGCAACTGGCATATAGGCCTCAAATCAGGGAACAGACTATTTTGCATTAAGACCTATTTAAGAATGGAGAAGGAGGGGATTGTAGTGGGCTAATTTATACCATTAGTTCTTTGTTTGAGTCCAGATTGAGTGATTTTACCTCTCCACTCCCTCCTCCCTCAACTCACCTTCAACTTTGTTCCATACTTCTATCACCTTGATTGCTGCACCTCAATCCTTATTAGTCTGTTGAGGGTCTATTTGTGCCTAAGTTACCTGTATAGTGCCCTATACCTTGTTTGCAATTCATTATGTACAGGGACATACACATATGTGCTTAATTGCATAAAGAAGTGATGTGGCAAGTTTCAACGAAATGCAGCACATTCACTGATTTTGTTTAAATTTAGGCAGTAAGTATTGGAATACGTACATGCTGAGTATATGGATACTGATAAGGATTCTTGAGTATTCAAATTCTTTTTTTTTTTCTTTTTTTTTTTTTTGGAGTCCTGGGAATGCTTTCACAAAGCCTCTTAATACCAAAAGCTATCCTCTTAATGATAGAGTTGGTCAAATCCTAATATTAAGACACTGTAATGGCAATTGATACCAGAATTTTTTTACCAGAAATTGGCCGTGTGAAATCAACCCCAGGAATGTGTCAGGCAAATTTGGCATTGGCTGCAGCAATAACTTGCAGATTAAGCTGCAAATAAGAAATCAATTCCATGTCAAACATCTTTCTGCCTTCTTCATAATGCTTTTTCATCATGTTTGCTTGATATTAATAGAAGAAAATTAATGCTTTGCTGGCTTTTGATTAAAAGGAATACTTGAATACTAGGTTGTTGCCTATATTTTCAGCTCACGCTTTTCTTTTTTTTTTTTTTTGTTGCCTAGTAAAAACAAACAAAAAAAAATTGTTGTCAGTTTTTTCCAGTTATACAATGGAGCTTGACTCTATCCAAAAATATTCTGTACACTCTAGCATTATTCTTAATATTTTCATCAAATCCTATAAAATGATTCTTATATGTAAAAAGATATCTTCTTTTACAATAATGATATTTTTTTCAGGGGAATATATAGTCAAAAAATCATCAAATCATATTCATTGTTAATAGCTGATAAACAAAAGAAAGAAAAAATGCACATATCCTGTATACATTGTATCTTTTAGATTCATTAAGGCTAAGTGTGAATGTCTTTCATGCTTTAGACAATTTACTGGTATGTGAAAATGCCCCAGTTTGGCAGGAGATTTAAAGTAAATTTGATTTTTAAAACAGTGATCTTTGAAAGATATTTTTACCAATTATTTTTACAAACTGTCCTACATGTTAAAAGAAATGTTATAATGCTCATCATTAAGCATAAGCACAAGAAGAAAAAGAAGCCATCTATTAATGGGTCAAAGCATGTGAGTAGGCTTCCATAGATGATTGTGATGGCTTGGACCCTTAGTTGACCTTAGCTTGTTGACCTTTTGATATGTTGACCTAAGTGATATACTGGTATTGGGGACTTAACTTTTAGAATATTGTTTAAGTATGCAGTTTGTAAGTTCACATTTCAAAAAACATTTGGTAGAAAGAATGTAATGGTTAGCAAATGTTTTGGTTACTATTAGACTGTCTTTCAAAGTGACAAAATTGGAATTTTTTAAGTGTTTTAAGTCGCTTTTAAATTTTAAACATTTCAATGGTCAAAATTAAAACAAATTCACGAATTTTGGAAATCAAGGGAAAAAGGCCAAAGAATGATATAGTTTTCTTTGTGAAAGTGCAAACTGCATACAATATTTATGAATTATTAAGTTATTATCAGCTTGCTTCTTTATGCTTTGCTTAGCTTAGGCTTTCGCTTTGTTTTCATTATATATAATACAATACACAGCTGGGACCAAAAAGACATGTAAGTACGGCACGGCATAGTTTTGTTTTTATTTGCTGATGCACTTTATTTTAGAGAATATGTAATTTACATTTGATATTGTATGAATTTTATCATTTTTTTGGTGTTTTCTTAAAAATTGTCCTTGAATTGTATATTTTTTGCCATCGTGGATATGTTCAATGTATTGTTTACACTTTATATAACCACTTTTATGTGATTTTACTTGCTAATATGCAATAATATGTACAAAACAAAGTGTGTATTGATGTACAAGCCACTGCATAAAACCCTATGTCTGTTATACAAAAACACTAGTTCAGTTGCTTGTGGACTGAACCATAATATCAAAAATATGACTGGTAGACCAAAAGTGACACATTTTATAATAATTTTGTCACATTTTAGGGATCTTCTCTGTCACACCTAACAAATTCAAACATTTCTCTCTGTCACACCCAATACACTAAGATCTCAAATCCTGTCAAATCTGCTTCAGTCACACCTAACACATTGACACATTTCATCCTGGCACACCTAACACACTTTTACTTCTTATTCCTTTCCCCCAACACACTTTCACATCTTATTCTATCACACCTAACACAATTTCAAATCTGATTTTGTCATGCCTAACACAACTTTCACATCTAGCACACTTCTACATCTGATGCTGTCACACCTACCACATTGTAAAACTTAGCCATTCACACCTATTACAATCTTTTTCACGTCTTTTTTTTTTTTTTGTCAAGTTCTCTTTCCCAACATTTAAGCAAATACATATTTTTTTAACAAAAAAGACAAAACAGGGGTGATTTAGTTTGTTTGTACCTGTATGTTGTAACATTTTATACCACATACCTTACAGATTTTTGTGCTAACACCTATTCCCTCTGAGTCTGACATGTTGAAATTTCCCTCAGACCGTGTATTATTTGTTTCATTATAATGTTTATTCTGAAAAAGATTATATGAAAGATTAAACATTTGGGTTGGATATTTGTCCCAATTTTTAAGTCAGTAATCTGAGAATGAGCTGTATAAAATATTTAGGGAATACAGTAGTTGTATCTACCAATAAACTTTTAACATGAATATTATAACATATATACCTTTGTACTGATATGTTGAAGAATCGTGATATTACTCACCTGAATAACATTATCATTGTGACTGTCAGTCCCATTTTTATTAACCTAGAAATTATAACACTCCTTTCATTACAAATTTTAAATTGCTTTGATGATAACAAGCCTTGTATTAAGACATGTTAATTATTGCTATATTTTCGTGTAATGTTGGATAAATTGAATTCATTTTTTGTCAATTAAATATCCTGTAAGAACTTGCACTTGATCTCTATTTACTGGCTTGCTCTGACTGCAGAACTGCACATATTTTACATCATATGCCGGTTTTTATTGCTAAGCTATTAATTCAAAACTGCTGTGTGTACCCATTCAAATATTTATAGCATTAAGATTTTAATATCCAACCAGAACTGTGTGTATGTGACCTAATTATTTTTTGGTGTCAATCCAGAATTGTGTGTACCTGACAGAAATGGGTGAGAACATTAAGCAGGAACCAGGGGTGGTGTACGTCAAAGTGGACCACAGGTCACAGTGGGTCAAGTTACTGGACTTTGCCAAAAAGGTAAGCTCATTTTTTTTTTAAGGTGCAGTCAATGTTAAGAAAATAATGATAAAATTGCCAGAAACAATGTTTGGTCATTGTGATGTAATTGTGAATTAAAACTATGATCTTAAATGACGTTTGAAAGAAAATGCCAATTTACTCATAATTTAATCTTATTTTTTATTCATTTTGATCCATATAATAATAATGATTGTTTGNGATAAAATTAAATGAAAAATATTGTTTCAAGTTTAATGAGCCATGTTTGATATTCTTACAGGTGGTGATCACAGACAACTCTGTGAGAGTCCTGCGAGACCTGCAGAGCAAGCTTCCCTTAATGCGCCGCCTGATCCACTCCAAGATGAACGACGCCCAGATTCAGACCATGTGTTCTATCCTGGACCAGCTGAAAGAGTACTGCTGTCTGCCTGAAGATCCGGCTCAGCCCCATGGGATTAACCAGGATATTCTGTACAATCAAGGTCTGTAGAATGACCATACTGTCACACCCAACGCATTTCACACTGTCACACCAAACACATTTCACACTGTCACACCTTACACATTTCATACTGTCACACCCAACACACTTTTAATATACCTTTAGTTGCGTCATTTCGTGCCACTTGGAGTAAATTGGAATAATTACCTTACAGATAAACAAACAGCTGTAGGTAAATAAATAATGTTTGATAATTTTGTTCATAGCTTGTAAGATTTTTATCTTGTTCTTTACAGCCATTCTAGAGGACATGTTCGACATCTTGGCCAAAGAATTTGACGTCAGTCTTGTGGTATGTACAGAAAAAATGGTCTAAAATTTTCTAATAAAGTCTTTCCTACAAAATATTTGTGTTCTACATCCATAACATAATTCTCGACATATACGATGTTCATTACATATTAAGATTCCAATCATGGCTGGCAGTGTACTAGTACAATGAATCAGAATATAACTTTTCTGAAGGTATTGCTAGAGTTTTAGATCTTTAAGTAAATCTTGTATTTCTCCCTACATATAACCAAGTATAACTACCTTTTGGCATTTTTAGAAAAATCTTTATGATAGTGTTTCATGCTAACATCTCTAGTGTAGCAAAATCATTGGATCTCTCTCCTATCTAAAGTAGATAAGGACTTTCTGGAAAAAAAGTATTCTTTTAAGGGCTGCCAGGTATAATTGGTTAGGCATAAAAAGGAAAAAAAGATCCTGAGAATTCTGTAGTGTACAGCATAGCATTTGGGTACTGGATGTTCTTTTTTTTGTTAAAAGTGTACATGTTTTTGTGTGTAAGCATAAATTGTCTTTTTTATGTTGTCTGTAAAGTGCTTTATCTTTTACAGTCCAATTTAGCAGGCGGGGTAGGTACCTAGATTACTTTTGGTGTAGGGAATTTCTTTGACAGATATGTTGCATTTACATGACATCCATGCTTGGTCTATCACTTGATTGTGGTAGTTTTGAAATTATTTCATAATTTTTATCATGGACAACTGTAAATTTTATCTAATAAATGATTTTCAGTGTTAAACTGCGACATAAAAATTGCAAATTGCATTCCCAACTCAATTTTAAATATCTTATTATTAGTCAACTTTTCCAAAGCTGTATAAATCCAAATTAAAAGACTGGTATGATCAATTTGATGACAGGCTATACTATGAAATAAACATTGTAAATGTGACATAAAGGTGCTGCACAAAATAACTGGTACAAAGGTTTTTGGACATATGTTATATGGTGTATTACAAACTAAAATGCTGTACCATAATTTTATGCAAAACTGTTTAGTAACTGTAGTCTACCCATCGTCAATCATTCCAGTGCATGCATGGTTAATAACCTATATTCCAAATTTATTGCACAAAAAATATATATTAAGAAATTATTGCACAACAACTTTAAACCTGATTTCTGATAATAGTTGCAATTGGGAAAGCCTGAGTTTCATAGGACACTGAGAACTCACCTCTCTATTTTTCTACTTGGGCAGCATGTTTCTGACATTTGTTGTCTTCACTAACAGGGACGGATCCAGAGATATTTTCTGTCAGTCTTCCAAATTGTCTTTGTTGGTCTATCCTCCATTACTGACAGTCTTCTGACAGAAAAAAATTAGATGCCATCAGTGTAAACTTGTAAAATTCTGACCATCTTCTGGAAGATTCAAAAGACGGCCTCAAGGCTGCACAAAGACATGCTGTTGGTAGAGATATAATGTTTTCAGTGTACCGTAAAATTCAGCGTGATTTGGGGTAATTTCATCCTGCTGGCTTCCCACCATTGCAAGCTTAATATAGATATACATTTTGTGTTACCATGGATGATTTGCTATTAAATTTGTTTTATTATACCTTATTTTATAATTGTTTTTGTGTATATTTTCTTCTTGTTGTCAGTGTGGTACTTCTGTATTGTTCCTATAATGTTCTTTGAATTTATGTATGTTTTTGTTTCATTAAAGCTAAGAGATATTTTATGGGAGATGTGTTGAGTATTATAGTATTAAATGCATGCATAGATTAATATTTATCCTTTGATAGGTTAATTTCTAGTTCAGGTTTATCTTTAATATGTTCTTCATGACAGTTATTTTTTATTATCAATAATTTCATAATAATATAAGGAAAAAAGATAATTTGATAGTACTGGGCTGCAGTGTATCTCAGCAATGATCCAAATTTGTGATATTTGCCACCAATCATCAGCAGGGTACTGGACATTAAGGCTTCGTTCACATGCAATGTCTATTTTCTAATTTCTATTTTCTATTTGCGCTATCTTATGATCACGGTCTGTGCCCTGAATATCCCGCCGCGTAATTACTGGCAGCGCGAGCCAGTTACTTATAGTAACTTATAGTAACTGGCTCGCGCTGCCAGTAATTACGCCGCGGGATATTCAGGCCACAGACCGTGATCATAAGACATACCGCAAATAGAATATAGAATTTAGAAAATAGACATTGCATGTGAACGAAGCCTAAGTGTTGCTATGCACTTAAATTCCAGTACTAGATGTACATACATCTTTTTATCTTCTGTGATATCAGACATTTTATAGACATTTTAAGACCTACCTACAGATTGTGTTGCTTTCAGAATATTTTGTCAGAGGGATTATTTTCTTTCAGTTAGTGTTCAATCTTCACCTTTTGCCCTCTTTAATCAAAATGGTTGTTCAGGTGAAAAACATTTTTTTTTGCTTTAGAGTTTAAGTTCTGAAAATTTCACAAATTTACTGTTTCATGGTTCACTGAAACAGGATAAGATCTGTATGTGAAGTGTATAAAACATATTACAAACTATCCAGTTTGTTACCATTTTACTTTTTTTTCTCCTTCAATATGGATTCAGCACCAAGACACAATTCCCACCACCTCACCATATTTGTTCTTGTTAATTTTTTTCCTTGCTCGCACAGAAATCATTTGGTGGGATGAGATTGAAACTGAAGAAAATAGAATTCAAGGACCTCACCAAGATGGCACTGCATGTGTGTGGGGGAAAATATGTGATATGTTTTGTTGGGATATGCCTTGTGTATTTATGTTGTATTTGTGCATTGCATATGTCTGAAGTTTCTGCAAGGCTCTGTAGTCTTGTTTCCAGTCAGTTTGGATGAAACCCACATTGCTGGGCTGTGTGTTTATGACAACCTCACCATGGGAAACCATCTTTAAGTTAACTTAACATGACTTACCTCATTTACGGTGGCAGGACTATATACACTGATATTGGTGTTTGGGAGATAAAGGGATTGGATATGTCGTCTGTGGTGAGCTAATCATTATTGATCAGTCTCCTTAGCTGGGTTGTAGATAAATAGACAGTTCTTAATTGACTGGAAACACGGCTTTTATCTTACTTTATTGTGTGGTACTGCAAAATATAAATTTTCAAATTTGTTTTGGCCAATTTCCCCTATTTTCTTTGGTTATTGTATTATATTTTTAGTTACTGTTATTGTGGTATTCAGTTGGACTGTTACAAATATTACTTCAGATGTGACTATGGTACATTCATATTTGATGTGTGTATATATATTTTATGATAAGTTTGCTTTGTTTATTTATTTATTTATTTCTTATTTTATTTATTTATTTATTTATTTATTTATTTATTTATTTATTTATTTATTTATTATTTTTTTTTTTTTGAGAATGCTGATGAAGAGTTTGCTATTCGTATTTGGTTTCATATTCCTGCTTCTCCTGCAGCTTTAAAACTTGAAAATCTCAAACAGAAAATCTGCTCAACTTTAAATTCCTTGAATTCAGTCTTTCATTGAGTTGCTTGGTATCCGTTCACACAGACAGATTTTAAAAACATATTCAATTTTCTAAGTCAAATCATGATGTCAAACCTGGCTTTCTGAATTCTTATACTCACCTGATGTGCAGATAGTCAATCTCTTTTTTTATCTCTTTTTTGCTCAGTGATTTTGCTTTCAAGAAGTTATTCCATTTCTGTAAAATTATGATTTACTATAGATTTGAGAACTGTTATGATCAACAGTGACCATCCTTGAAAATGATACTATATTTAAATTAATTTTGTTTGTTTGGTGTTAAAGTTTTACTGTTGATCTATTTGTATTTTTATGGAATTTAAATTTAATTTAATAATTAATCTCTGCATATTTTGTATGGTATTACTAGGTATTATCTGTATGTATTTGTATGGAATTTAAATAAGAAATTAATCACTGCATGTTTTGTATGGTACTGTATTACTAGGTATTATCTGTATGTATTTGTGTGGAACTTGAGTTAACAATTAATCTCTGCATATTTTCTATGGTGTTACCAGGAGCAATACCGTGGCCTACAGCAGGTGTTCCAGAAGGCTCTAGGACTGCTGACTGTGATGGCGCGGGGTAACGCCAGCGTCCAGGAGAGGCTGTTCAACCGTCTGGACGTGTTGCTGAATGTGAAGGGGGCTGAACAGGAGCTGGGGGAGGCTTTGGCTGAGGTAGGGTATTGATGATGGTGATGATGATGATGATGATGATGATGGTGGTGACACAGACCATGATGCTGCTAAGATAATGGTTGAATGGATGCATGACAAAAAGACATCTAGAAAGGGTGACCTCATGCATGCAAACACACACACACACACACACACACACACACACACACACACACAGAGAGTGAAAGAATCTCACAGGTTGGTACACTCAACATAGAGATAAATGATAGGTTATAGATAGTATATTGCCATGGTCAACTTAATTCTGACTTTGGGGTATGCCTTGGTCATGTCGCAGAATATTCCTTTTTCTTCCAAATTTTCAAATTTTTGGTTTCAAAATCAGATCTCTCACGACAAGATATGGCTATATTGTCAAATTTACAATGTGGAAATGTCAGGGTAATTTAAATGTAGGTTATAACGATACTAAATCTGTTCAGATGTTTTTCTGTTAGTTGTGGTCTCTCAATTTTGTAAAGGGAAGGTGGAAATGTCTGAGTTATTTTAATGAAGGATAACAAATCTGTGCAGGTGTTTTACACATCTCTGTTTTCTCAGGTATTCACAGGTAACAAGATGACATGCATGAGGATAATGCCTCACCAGGTGAAGCGTGTGATGGAACTAGTGGCGCAGCACCACCTGGATGTGCCACAGTTCTTAGACCTGCTGAATGCCGTCGTCAAGGTCGAAGAGCTGGACCTGCCACTCAAACGTAACCAAGGTTACGTCATGAAATATTTTATGGAGTACCGCACGGATGTGGCGGCCATTGTGGATAAACACAAAGACAGATGGTGAGTTGAGTGATAAACGGATTAATATTTGAAAAATTAAAGTGCATCAAATTTTTGGTTTTAGTTGTAAATACAGAAATATCAAGTTAATCTTCGGGAATTCATTTTTGACCAAAGTTAAGGATATTGACCATATATTTTAAAATTTATAATATACTAAATTTGCCAAATGTAGATTTTATGTCAAGAATTAAATACAATATTGTATGCAGACATAAAAATGGGACAGTTAGCCGTTATTCATATCCATGATTTTTCCTGTGTTACTACAATTTAGTATTTGATGATAATAAAAGATACAAATTCTCTCAAAAGAGACTATAAAAACTTTCTATACACCTAATGTATGTGGCATAAAATTTTTGACCCTTGGTCTAAGAAACGTTTGACTATTGTACAGACATTACTCAAGAGACAATGAAAAAGCTATTTCAGTGGTTGTTGTTCATTATTTCAGTGTGGCCCTACTGACAGGAGAGAGGAACAAGGAGATGATCTACTTGCTGGCACTGGTGGATTTACTGGCTACATGCTCTGAGGTACGGTAATTACCGACTTACTCTGGATTTTCAAACTCCTTCAAAGTCGATTGTTTTAGTAGTCTAGAATATAAATCTAGAAATATGTGTAGATTTTTTAAAAATCGACTGTGTTTAAATATTTTTATTATAACAGGATGTTATTAGTCTCCAGGAACCTTTGTAATAATAATTTAAATTTTACAAAGTAAATTCCTTTTTCTTCCAGGGTGAGAATCGATTCATTGAGTCTATCTGCCAGACCATCTTCAGCGTGAATGAGCTTCTGGACATAATAACTGACCCCAAGATCAATAATCATCGCAGGCGGCCATATTTGAGGTTTCTGCTCTGGGTCTACGTGAACACTGCCAGCAGTCTGATCGAGATTGGAGCAGGGGACATGCCACATGACAAGTATGGTTATTTTTTTTTATCTTTTCAAACAACTTGATCATTTCAACCAGAAAACTTGATGTCCAGATTTGAATTTTTATGCTTCAAAATTATTAAATGATTGGTAATATCTAAAGGTTCATGAACATAATTCCTGTTTTAATGCAAAATGAGATTGCATGCCAATTTTGTCTGTATAGGAGAGTTTGGGACTTCATGAAAAACCTTACCCTAGAGATGGAAAAGGTGACTGAATATGTGAAGGAAAATCAGACCAAAGCCAAGCATCAGCTGGAAATGGGCCCAAGTAGAAAGTAGGTCTCTTATGACTCTTACTAGTTTACATACTCACTTTAAGTATTTATTTATAATAGTACATTGGATTTTATATGGTCATCCATCATAACAAGCTTAGGTGCTTTAAGTAAAGGATGCACATTTAATGAATAATATTTTTTTCATGTAAAATGGATAAATTGAAATGTGTTATAGATATCAGAATGAAAGGATTATAAAGATAACTGTCAATAACTTGGACAGATAAACAGATATTTTCAGAGAATTGAAATGTTATAAAATTATGGATATTGTTTCAGTGTTTAATTCCTAACTATTCTCACTCTTCTCACTCTCCCTATTCCAGAGACGAGTTTGTAGAATACTACCATGGCACCTTACATTACTTCATCGAGGCTGTCTTCCCGTTCCTTCAAATCTTCTTCCGCCAGGTTTACGCCCCAGAGCCAGAAGATGAGAAACATCAGCAAGAACCAGAGATTGTGGACAAGCTAGCTACTGCTCTGGTGGTGAGAGGATTTGAATTTCTTTTTAGTTTTTTTTTTCCTCTTATTTTTATGTAAAATTGTTAAATTTGATAAAAAGTCACAAGATTTTTAGTGGTACGTAATGTGAATTTATAAAATAACTGTTTTGTAGGCATTCGTTGATGTGTTAGGGGGCTTGATGAGCAACGAAATCCACTTACAACGTATGATTGCCTGTGCCAGTGCAGTATTACCCATGTCTACAGTAGATCCAGAGGTAAGTAGGTCACCCTGACCCAGTTGCATAATTTATATCAAGACCACTTCATGGTTAATTTAGAGGTCTTGTAGAAAAGTCTTGGTAGAAAAAGAAGTTTAGTTTAATTTTTTTAAGAATATGATTTTTATTTTTAGATTTACTTTTATCACGAAAAAGATTTTTTCAAATCCAGGAGACCCCCAGTTTGCTTATTGGGACAGTTCTTGACTATGGTGCTTTTATTAATTATCATGCATGTACACCAAACTTGCTTATCTCCAGTGAAAAGTACAGCAGAAACATCCAGGGCAATCACATTTCACACCCTACACAATGAGTCACAACTAACGCAATCAGCAGTCACACCCAACACAATCATAATTCACACCCTACACAATGAGTCACTGCTAACGCAATCAGCAGTCACACCCAACACAATCAAAATTCAAACCCTGTACAATAAACACTATCACACATTCATTTCATGTTGATTTTAAATTGCTAACCTGGCAGAAGACAATAAAGGTAGATTGTATACACACATGAAAACATTTTACTCAAAATAAGTTTGTGCAATGGTTTTGGTTTTCAATGTGGATATGTGTGACTGGATATGTTTATTCTTTCTAGAAAATAGTGTGGAAACTTTAACCAATTTTCACATCACTTTCTTTGAATGGGGATCTTTTTTTCAACACTATTCTGTTGTTCATATCTTGTTGTTGATGTTTATACTGGTTCACCATATTCACTTTGAATCATGGCAATTATTGTTTTTTTTTCTGTCACAATTGCCAAATAATTTATTGTTCTAAAAAAATTGGCGGTGGTCCTTTTCTGATTAACACATCTTTACCAGTTTAAACAGTAATTTATATCAGTTAAAGTGATGCTTTTGTATGTGTACGTCAATATCTCAAATTTTTTCCCTTGCCACATTTTATGAACTGTACAATGTGACAAAACTTTAATGTCTGTTAGTGGTATCCAAGCCTTTTATTAATAACATTTTTCAAAAATGGGAATGGATTCTAAAAGTGCCTTAAAATAGTTTTCTCTCTTAGTTTTATGGCATGTTGGAGGTTACTGCAAAAATAAATAAATAAATAAATAAATAAGTAAAAAAAAAAAAATAAATAATAACAATTTTCATCTGTTGAATTAAATTGAATTTCATTAACAGTATGATTTACCACAAATTTATCATTTAGACAGAATTCATGATTTCGAGATACACCAAAAAGATATTAGTAATGACATACATGTGTGTAGATTTTTATTTATGGTTATTTGTAGGTTGTATTCTATTTACGGAATACTTAAGAAAATGAGCTTAATTCAATTTAGCCCTTCACTACATATTTCTCTTTGCGTTATATATATATATTTTTTCCAGGTGATGCGTGAATTCCAAGAGCAGTATGGGGCAGGTGCTTCAGGGTCCAAAGTCCAAAACAAAGCCAAAGAGGTTAGTGGAAGCAGCAAGGAAGGAAATAAATTGGGAACCATAAAATTGAAAGAGACAGCAATTGTGATTGTGTTAGTGGTTATACTGATGATTGTGCCAGTGGTGAGACTGATGATTGTGGTAGTTGTGACAGTAAAGGTTGTGTTAGATATCACATAACTTATGTGATTAATTGTGTCAGAATGAATAGCATTAGTTACAACAATATGTTATTGGCAACAATAATTACTGTGCAAGTTGCATTAGTGCATTAGTGTTGGCACTACCAATTGTGTTAGGTGTGACATCAACATTTGTGTTAGGTGTGCACTACCAATTGTGTTAGATGTGACATCAATAATTGTGTTAGGTGTGACATCAACAATTGTGTTAGGTTTGCACTACCAATTGTGTCAGATGTGGCATCAATAATTGTGTAAGGTGTGACATCAATAATTGCGTTAGGTGTGACATTAATATTGAATGTGTTGGGTGTTCCAGAACTACATCAGGGAATATCAGGGTGAGGAAGACCTCAATATCCAGCTGAACATATTTGCCCAGAACTTCAGCATGGTGTACGGAGGCTTCAATGACGTCAAGTCACAGATTGGGTTCCCAAGCGATGAAGGTAAGATTTGACAAGGATGCTGGCTGACTCTTGCACACTAACATGAACAGGAATGAGACATGGTTTTGTTTTTCAAGAAACATTAAATGTTGAAATATTCTATGATATGTGATTCTATGGTTCTGGTTAATTTATTTGCACAGGAGTGAGACATGATCAGGATGGTTTTTGAAAAAACACTAAATTTTAGCATTTATACATATGGTTTAATTTATTCTGATTGTTGGGTTAATTTCCCTTTAGAGATTTCAATTCAGCATTACAGTCTATAGTATTACACATAATATTATAGAAAGTACAATATTCAGAATTGACAAGTCTTCACTTTTATGCATAGCATTATACAATGTGCAACGTTCATAGAAGATTTTTAGTCTAATAACAGTTATCAAATATTCCCTCAGACTACACAGATGTGGGTGGGGATGAGGAGCTCCCCCTGGGGAATGAGTTCCAGATGATGGTGAAGTGTTTTGAGAATACTCAGGAAGATTTGCAGCCTGCGCAGAGATATATACTGACTAGTAAACTGCTGGAACAGCTTAGGTATGATATGAGTGTATTAGGTGTGACAATGAAGTGTGTTAGATGTGACAATGAAGTGTGTTGGGTGTGACAATGAAATGTGTTAGGTGTTCTCTTTGTGTGTTAGGTGTGACAATGAAGTATGTTAGGTGTGACAATGAAGTGTGTTAGGTGTGATAGTTCTCTGTGTGTTAGAATTGTGTGTGATAATTGTGCCAAGTGAGATATTTGCCTTTATTTTTGAGAGTTGAATTATTTGAAGATGTCAATTGTTCAGTGCATTTTGGGAACCTAACTATTAAGTTATTGCAATGATTGGAAGATATAAAGACCAGCTGTAGCATGCTTAATAATTATTGTGATGGCAAGACAGTAATAATAATGTTAGTTGTATCAGTGTTAGTTGTCTTGAGTGTAAACTGTGTAATAGTTGTGATTTTGTTTGCTATAACATGTTTATTGATTGAGGATAATCAATGTGCAAAGTAAGAACAAACTGAAAATTGAGAAACTATTCTCCGTATGATTTTATGTTAAAGTTTTCCTTCTGTGACGTGTTTTACAAAATACCAAATAGTTGAAAATTAAACATTTAATTCTTTAATGATTTTTAATTATATTGTATAATTGTATATTCTTTGATGTCAGAATCTCGTCCAAGTCGACACTGTCCATGGAGTCGGAGCGCATGGCTCAGGAAGTGCTGGACGTGAAGTGCCTGCAGATAATGCGTGCTCTGATACACAACCAGGTGGTGAAGCTACCCCAGGACTGGCAGAGCAACTTCCATAAACGGAAAGTAAAGAGGTATAGAAATGGAATTGTCTGTATGTCATAGATTAATGTATTTGATTAATAATTAATTTGTAATCTGTTTGATTCCTATCCCCCCACAACCCCTCCTCTCCCCCAAAAATTGAAAAAAAAATACATGGTATGCATCTGGAAATGTTACAATTCACCACTTAATTAGAACTTTTAAACTGCTCTTGCTGTTATATGCAGTTGTCATTATTAACCTTGATCACAAATAACATGGTTGTTATGGGTATTCTCTTTTTTTACTTGTTATATATTTTAGATCTATCCAAAGGCTCCATGATGTCCAGACAGCATTGAATGACTTTGAAACTCCACACATTACAATGTCTCTCCTGGCCAAACCTGGTGATAACATTATCAAGGAAGTGCTCTCTCTACTGGGACTGCTGCTTTTTGGCAGTATATCCAATGTACAGGTGAGGAGTGTGTTAGGTGTGCAGATGATTGTGTTGGGATGTGCAGACAAGGATTGTGCTAGTTGTGAAGTTAAAATTGTGTTAGGTGTACTGGTTATTGTGTTGTGATGTGCAGTCGGTTTATAATTATGATAATAATAATTATTATTAGTATTAGAAGAAGTAGAAGTAGTAGCATTCTGTATCCACATGGTTATTGATAAGTCATGGTGTACTTGAATAAAATGACATTTTTTATTTCCTTCATTATATATGTGGTTATACTATAATAACAATAATTTTAAAACAGAAATTGATTTATATTTAAAAGTCTTTAAGTTATATATATATTTATTATTTTAGCCTAGTATAGCTGACTATTTCACTGGAACTCGTGAAGAAAAGTTTTTCTTGGCAGTCAGAGAACGAATGCAGATGTCAGCCATCAACTACAGAGAAAAGTAAGTCGAGTTATGCAAATAGATGATTTTTTTTTTGCTGGCTCTGAGATGTCTTCACATGGCTACATCTGATGTCATACTCACATTAGAATAATTTCAAATTATATAATTTATAAATAAATAATAAATAATTATATAAATTACTTATATATAAGCTTTCTGTCATTTAGTGTGATATTTCAATCTTGTACTTATCGTTTTGTTAAATCAGTCATACTATATGAGAATAAAAACTTTTTAAAATTTTAAGATAAAATATGAACGGAATGTTTATTTTTTCAAGTTTCTCCATCATTGAAAATGCCTTACCATTCAAGTTGTTAATGGGATTGAATATTCTACTGTCTTCAATGCAGACTTATGTATTTTTTTCTTCCTCCGACAGACGCGCTCTCATAGCCCAACACCAGGCATCACAGGAGCATAAAATAGAGCAATTTAAGACCCTGCTCCGCGCCACCAGGGTGGGAACACAAGTAATGAACATTGTTCAGGCTTCCAATGCATTCAGGTCAAAATTAAGCATGCAGTCCACTGGGAAAAAGAAGGTAAGGGGCAAATGTCGTGGCATGATTTATTTATTTATTTATTTAATCTTATTTAAGCAGGATGGGGGTTAGTCTGGCTGAATTATTAATTAAGAAATAACTTTCATATGTGTTAGGTTTGACAAATTTTGATTGACATATACCGGTATATTTGTATATATGTAGTTTGCTAAAAATATTTACCATAAAATCTCATATTTAGTAAAACCAGTATACAAACATCGCTATCTAATTCAGAGAGTGACGTCTGCAGCCAAACTCAAGGGCAGATACAGCAGCCAGAGTCGGCTGGGAAGCAGAACCAGTCTGAATCACTCTCCATCCCTCATGGGTAGCACTGCGGCCATGTTGTCTGGCGCGAAAATGAACAAAGGCCTCCTACCGCCTATAGAGGGCGCTAACGGAGTAGAACTGAAGCAGATGAAGAAGAAAGACGACAAGCAGCCATTGTTGACTGGTAGCGGGAACAAGGTTGGCCCCGTTGGTGTTGAGTTGAAGGTGGAGGTATGTTCTTGGAGTGGATTTGGTCGGCCATATTTTGTAATCTTTCAGCTGGTCTGCTGGTCATTCAAGAAGAAACACTAACCAATTACATTTACTAGTTTATCCAATTGAATTCAGTCATTTTACTAAAAATGGTCTCCTCTGTATTATTGTACCACCAGCGTTAGCGCTGGCGGTACACATGGTTTTAGTCCCGTCCGGTCCGTTCCGCCGGCTCCTGCGGCTCCGCCGCCATGTTACCGTTACCGCTTCTCCTCCTAGACGGTAAGGGCCCCCATACCCATCTCTTGGATTTAGGTCACCTATAATCTCAACTCGTTCCACGTAAAATTTGGGCTTTGTCGGTNTTTACTAATGTCACAGTTATGTTTTTGCCTTCCTTTGTTGGTTTATTAGTTTGCAGCTGAATAAAAAAATTATGAATGGCATTGGATAAAAATCTCAGTAGTCCATAAATGGGTTAACTCAATATCAGGCAGATTTTGTTGGTGATTCATAAATTAATTGATTATAATAATAATAATAAAAATTGAATTGACCTGGTGGAGGTTTGTACTCTTTGAGTGCCTTTAAACTTGCATAATTTCTGTAGTAATTTTTTCCCTTTCCATCAGGATTTTGATGACAACGAACTAGAAGCTTTGGCCAAGGAAGTGGGTATAGAGGGAGCCACTGACCTGGACTATAAAGATGAGGGCTACATTACACTGGTCCTCAAAGTACTGGGGGCCATGTGCGATGGTCAGTTTGCGGATTTACAGGTATGTTATCACACTGACCGCTGGATGGACAGTTCAGCCTCATTCAAGAGTTTAACTTGTGTTAACTTGAAGGCAAGATATTTTGGTATACATGTATGTCAGTTCAAATTAAATCATCTCTTTGTTGTAATTATTAATTATAAAAAGTACAATAATTATTGTACTTTTTTACAATAAATCTCAGGTGATAGGTAGGTCTCATTCGACAAGCTGAAAGATTAAAATATTGTTGTCATTAATAATAATGTAGAACTACCCTAGAAAGCACCATAGTGTCCCTTAGTTTTCCTATAGGTTATTTGCATAAAGGATTCCAATACACACTCTCATTATTACATATTTATCTCTATAACTACAGGACTATTTGAGGGAGCAGCCAGACAACATAAAGACAGTGAACTTGGTGGGAGAAGTGACCAAATTCCTGGGTCTTGTCTATTCCTCCATTACCAGCGAACACATCAAGCTGGTGACTGCTCTCTTCAACACCCTGGTGGAAATGACTTCTGTAAGTATGGTTTATTTATTTATTTATTTATTTATTTATTTATTTATTTATTTATTTATTTATTGTCTTTAACACTGTAAAGATTAACTGAAGAGTAATTTTCTGAAACTGGAAACTGCACATGTCAGTAGGAATTATATTTTTTTCTCAAATAAACTTTCTGCATGGTATCTTATATCAGACTGACTTATTTAATCGTTATATATATAGTATACCCGATGTACAGAAAACTGTGTTTCATACTTGTTTCTCCTACCATATTCCAGGGTAACGTGACCAACCAAGCCGTGGTGTTTGACAACAAAGTCTGTGATTACATCAACTTTATTCTCCGTGCCGACCACTCCAAGTCCATTACAGTGGAGGAGGTGAATAGCAGCTTACATGTTTTGGGGAAAGGGGGCAACTTTCTGAGAAAAAAGTATTTGGGACACTGTGTTTTTCTAGAGGATGCAGGTTGAATTGGTCTTGAAAAGTTTTTAAGGGATTCAAAGTAATAACAAGCAGAATATATTGCAAAAAGTAACACATACTTAATTATTTACGAGACAGTATATCATACACAAAGAAACAAAGCTTGGCTACTAGCAAGTCCTGAAAATTAATAACAGAGTGTAACAGTGAAATAATTAAGTATTAAAACATTTTTGTTTTGTATTCACTTCAGGACTTTGAGCTTGCAGACTGTATAGTGAACCTCATACTTGCCATGATAGAAGAGAATCACGGCAGCACGGTGGGAGAGTTTGGAGCCAAGAGGGTGGCTGGCATTGCTAAGGTAGGAAAAGTTGAAGTATGAATTGTGTTAATTGTTGTGTTTAACTTTACAATGTTGAAGAGGTGTGGATGTTGGATAATGTGATTGTATGAGTGGAAATTATAAGTTCTTTTTTAGGATTTCAAATTTTACAATGTTTACAAAAATAATACCTCGCTTAATTCCATATTCAGTTGTATGTTGTTTTAAAAACGAGTTTTTTGAAATTTGCCATTTATGGATCACTGGTTACAATTCACCTGGGTGATTAAGTAACATCATCATGGTACCTGACTGTTGGCAGACATTGGGAGTCTGGAAATACATAAAAATTTGTGTACTGTATAAATGGTGTCAAATAATTTTTTAAAGCTTATCAGACCAGTAGCCGGGGGGGGGGGGGGGGGGGGGTTCTAGGGGTTTTAAAGAACCCCCCTTTTTTGCTGGAAAAGGTCCCCTCTTGGTAAAATTTTATCTAGTTACATGTACATAAAGGTTTCATGGTAAAGGGGTTTGGGTTTTTCCAGAAAAAGACCCCCCCACACACACACACACACTTTTGAAATTGCTGGCTACGGGCCTGCTTATTGTCTTGATGGTTATATCTGCAGGATGCTGTGGAGTCACTGGACACGGAGAGCATCTTCAAAATGGTGGTCAAGTACTACACTATGTCCCTGGATGAGGAGAGGTTTGAGGAGGAGGAAGAGAGGAAGAAGTATGAGGAGCTTGGGTGTAAATATTTCCACACTCTTCTGAGGATGGAGGATTTGGATAAGACTATACATCCTCAACGTAAGTTACATATTGGTTTGAGCACTTCAGGCCTTTCACTAATTTTCACTTTTGATAGACCTCTTTGTTGTGAACTGTGAAAGCTGCTTGCTAAAATGAGATGCCATTTTTACCTTTTAAAATGGACAAAATGCTTACCAGTAACAATATTTACTATTTCATTATTATTGTGGCCGGCATACATTTAAATCTTATTTCACATCTGTGTAGTATATGAAAATTGCAGGTAGGATTGTGTTAGTTGTGACTTTCAGTTATGTAGTTGACTGATTGTGTTTGGATGTGACAAATGTGGTCAGCTTTCTCTCACCATATTCCATGTGTTGCCTTAAACTAGACAATAAGGAAATTTGAATTTTTATTTCACTGCAAACTCAGGTCCTCCAGGTAAGATTGATACAAGGGTTTAGAGGTTTAATTCTAGATTCAGTTCAATGCACATAATCATGACTAAATTATCTGCATATGAATGTATACCAATTATAAATCCATTGCTTTATATTTCATATCTATAACCTCTGTATAACATTTTCTTTGTTAACATTTGTGCTGTCTATCCATTGTGTTTTAACTGAGCATTTTAACCTGGGACAAATTATCAATTTTTTTTCACAGTATATCATTTCTGTACCATAAAATGGACTTGGGATTTAGCTTACAAATTTAGTTGTAATAATACGAAAATGGTCAGAGTTTCATTTTTCAATAAATAAACATAATACCATGGTGAATGGTCTTCTTCAATCTGATACCATCACCTCTGATGATAGCATGCTAATGATTATTTTCAGGGGTGGATTCAAAGATATTTTCTGACGGTCTTCCAAAGTAACTTTGTTGACCCGTCCTCCATTTTTGACCGTCATCCGACAGAAAAAATGATACCCGTCAATGTAAACTTGAAAATCTGACCGTCTTCTGGAAGACCCAGAAGAAGGCCTAAATCCGCCCCTGATTTTTAACAATATATGCACTGCTTGTCCTGAGACACCCCTCTGAATGTTTATATAGTACATGATTGCCATAAATACAAGTCAAATTAAGTATAATTGGTGAATCTCTTATAAAAAAACATCTAAGTGCAGTTGAATTAAAATGTTGACATTCACTGATTATAAGTGCCATTTGTCTGAAAACATTTACAGAAATTTACAGAAACATGATTTCTGAGAATTTCCAGTTAAAAAAAAATAGAGTGATGACTTATTTTCTTTTAATAGTTGAGAAAGAAGTGATCAGAACAGACGAGGACAGGGCTGCCTGGCAGTTCTACAAGGAGGGCACCATGTCCATTGAAATAGTCAAGAATGACATGCTGCAGAAAGTCTACTTCAGGGTCAAGAACCAGGTAAGAGTGTTTGATGTGGCTTGTCTTGAAAATCAGTGCCACCTTCATAAAAATGTGTCTCATTTTCAAGACTTGTTGAAAAATGTTATTTGAACAGTGATAAAAAGTTTGTATATCATGTGCTATTATACTTTATTGTGCATTTTCTTTTCTTATATTATATAATAACATATAAATTATTATATTTATTTGAAACTATTTTGAATGAAACAGACTTATTAACTGGCTGTAATTCAATCCTAATGCATATAATCCCTTAATATTTGCTGGTATTGTAGAAAGTACTTCGTGGAGAAATCAAGGAGAAGTTTAAATATGAAGTGGACCGTTCTTCTCCAACGAACAAACTTCGGGACTTCCTTGCCTGGTCACAGGAAATCAGGAAAGACATCAACTACCAGAAGAGGATCTATGACAATCCTCTTGCCAGGTTCTTTGTCATGTTCTGGTCAGTCCGGTTTTTATCATTCACACTTTGATAATTTAATTGATTAGTCATTGTCAGAGGTAACAATTAATAATTATTATTTACAAAATTGTTTCAGAAATAAGCACATAGGATTATTGAATTGTAGTTTTCTATTTATTTATTTATTTATTTATTTATTTATTTATTTATTTATTTATTTATCTTTTTGCTTTCACTGTCATGTATTTTCTTATCAATAATTCATTTATTTTAATAAATTTTTTAATTTAAATCCATACATTTACTCAGTCATTTCTTTCTTTAACAGGACACCAGCCAATTACAGCATTATATTGATGAGTTTCTTCTTTGCCATATTCACCCTTGTCACATGGGTAGAGACAGGGGCACACATTCTAAATCAAAACACATCAGATGTCATTGATGAGTAAGTGATAATGTGTCGAGGTTTTGATGATACATGTTATCGTGTACCATGATAGAGAGAGAGAGAGAGAGAGAGAGAGAGAGAGAGAGAGAGAGAGAGAAAAGAAAAGGGTGCAGGGGCGGATCCAGAGATATTTTCTGACAGTCTTCCAAATTATCTTTGTTGATCCTTCCTCCATTTCTGACCGTCTTCCGACAGAAAAAATAAGATACCTGTTAATGTAAACTTGAAAATCTGACCGTCTTCCGGAAGACCTAGAAGACGGCCTCAATCCGCCCCTGGGGTGAGAGTGTGCATGTGTGAGAAAGAGAGAGACAGTGTGGTAGGAGTGAGCATAAAGTATTGGGGATCAGGTTGTAAACTAAATCATCATATACAAGTAATTGCATGAGCAGAAGACATCAAACTGAAGTAAAAGATAAACTTCCAGTGCATCCTTTTCCTTGCTTTTTGTTTCTATTTTTTGAGAATCCATGATCAAAAAAGAAAACAACAGAACAATGTGTCTTCAAATAGTAATAACATTAAAATTTTTGTCATTTCTCTTCACCAGCCCCACGCCCAAATACAGGTACCCGTACTCAGAGGTGGGTCTCTATGTACTGGGAGGTGTCCACAACCTACTGGCTCTGTACATCTTGGTCAGCTTCTTCATCTCCAACAAACCAGTGTTCCCCAGGTGGTGCAGGTAGGTACTAACAGGAATACATGTGTGTTTCTCATTTAGAACAAAAAACTTTACTGTTTATTTTTGTTTATAATGGCTATGACATGGCTTCAGAGAAGTTAATGTATGTAAAGTAGGTGGTATAAGTAGGTGCTGTGCTGACAGGTATTTTTCTCTAATTTAGAACAATTTTCTTGTTGGTGGTGTTGTTTAAAATGTCTAGAATTTTTACCAGAACATCCTGAATATTTGTATAGTCAGTCAGATGCTCATCTTTGCATAGTAGTGAAGACAGTTTTTTTTTTTTGAAAACAATCCAATTTTGGGATATATTGTTCTGGGTTGCAAGTTGTTATAAGCTTGGAAAGCAGATATATTTACAGCAAAAATGATTTAGAATGATATTTTTTCAGACCAAGGAGTGATGATGATGAGGAGGATGAAAGCGATACTTCAAAGTCTGGTGCCAAAGAAGAATCAAAGCTGGCTGTTCGCTTTTTTAGTTCAAAAACATTTTATTATATTGTAAGTACATGAAAGATAAATGAGTAATCATTTAATGTTCTTAGATATTATTTAAGCCAAAGAATGAAATATGTTCAGTTTAATTTTGAAAAGTATTGAATTTATTTTTTTGCCTAATGAGATGATTTTAGACCATTCATAATACAGATTTGTGATTTTATATGCTTTAACCATTCCACAAACAGAATTTGAAAAGAAAAAAATTATTTTAATACAAAACATAAACAATTAAATGTTTTTCCAATCTTTCTGATTTCAGATCTTCTTTGTGTTGTCCGTCCTTGGTACAGTGTTCTATGGCTACACCTTCAGCTTCCATCTTCTCCACATCGCTGCCAACAACCAGCTGCTGGCGCGGGTCATGCAGGCCGTCACCAAAAATGGTATGGCCTCTCCACTTAGTTGTCTCTGACCAGACAAGACTGTTTTAAGTCAAATATTTAAGAGCACTTTAATGTGTCTGTTTTTCAACGTTTATTTTCAAATTGCCAAAATAAATATTAAATGTTATCATGTATACTGGAAGGTCAACTTATTTGAATAACTAAATTGCTTTACATATGGGAAATAAACATTTAAAAAAGAGACTGCAGACTGTTAAAGTGTCATAAAACAATGAATCTCTTCATACTTTATTCAAATCTCTACTTTCAGGCATGTCTCTGATACTTGTTGGTCTCTTGATGGCCATCATCTTCTACATATATGCACTGATCTGTTTTGGGTTCTTTCGCCATCTGTTTGATAATGCCAACGGTTTGTTCTGCTCCACTGTTGGCGAGTGCTTCGTCACCATATTGCATCGTGGGCTGATTATCAGTCTCTTTGAGGTAAGTAACAATTGTCTTTAAACTTAAAAGTATGAAAGGGAAGAAGAGTAAGGAGGTTAAGTGTGTGAGGTGTGAAAGAAGAGAGTGTCAGATTTGAAAGCAGTGTATGCAAGGCAAAGGAGTGAGATGAGTGCTGTATATAAGAATGTAGGTATGGCAGGTGTGACAGTGTCAATGGTGTTAGGTGTGACAGTGCTAATTGTGTTGGGTGTGACATAGTCGATTGTGTTAGGTGTGACAATGCTAATTGTGTTTTAGGTGTGACAATGCTAATTGTGTTTTAGGTGTGACAGTGTCAGTTGTGTTAGGTGTGACAATGCTAATTGTGTTTTAGGTGTGACAGTGTCAGTTGTGTTAGGTGTGACAATGCTAATTGTGCATTGTGTGACGTGTAGTCATTTTATAATCAGGGTTAATATCTTACATGTATGGCTTAAAAAAATACTGTATCTGAATTTTTACAGTAACTTTTTTTACAATTTTTATCAATGGCATGATAACATATGTCATTTATTTATGCTATATATTATTGTATTGCATTAATTTAATATATTTCAGGTTCTGGAGAACCCAGATGTGATAGGCGACAAGACATTTGCATACTTTGCTGTCAAGTCCCTGTTGGACCTGTCTTTCTTCATCATCATCACCACCATTGGTCTGAACATTGTCTTTGGTATCATTGTGGATACCTTCTCTGAGCTTAGGAATAGCAAGGTAAAAATGATTTTAAAAGATAATAATTTCTGTTAGTAGTATAAAACGATCATGATCATAATATAATTTATTGAACTATGAATTGATCATTTTCATCTTTGCCACCTGGTTTTGTTATGACATATTTATGTTTATAGAAAGAATGTATAACATAATGGGTACATTAAAATGTATGTGTCATATTGATTCTTGCATTTAACAATTAAAGCTGTATAGTTATTGGAATCATCTTCAAATGTGAAATAAATTGTGAGGTATAAAAGCTATAATAAAAACTGCTTTTTTTCAGTTTCTTACTATCATTTGCATGTTGTACCCAGAAGATATCTGATTATTTATTCTGTCTTTCTATTAGTGGGAGATTGACAACGACATGACAACAGTATGTTTTATATGCAGCAGAAGCAGTTATGACTTTGAGCATCAAGCATCGGTAAGAGCAGGCACAATTTTTTGTTCAATTTTCAACTCCCTCATCTTCACACTGCACACAAAGGCCTTGTTGTATTTTGTGGGCAGCACACTGGAGTTACTTTTTTTTTTTTTTCGAAAATACGTGTACCATTATTTCTATTCATTTTGATTGGTCTAAGTGGCTGTTATGTTTTAGAGAGACAGGTCAGAATTTGCTTTTAACTCGTTAGCTTGTAGGCTAGGTAGGTCTAAGTACTTGTTAACAAGTTTTCTTAGAGCCTGTTTTTATAGCGGTATTTGATCGTATTGCAGGGATTTGAGTGTCATGTGAAAAAAGAACACAACCAGTATGCGTACCTGTTCTTCTTCATTCACCTTCACGAGAAACAAAGGAATGACTACACTTCACTGGAGCTGTATGTCTGGAAGAAGGTGAGTTCTTTTTTTAAATCACCATAGATTATTTTTATGTTAATTGTTGTCTTCTTTTTTGTGTGAAGATTGGTACCTTACAAACATACAAATACATCTTAATTATGTATTCATTAATTAATTTGTTTATTGAACAGATACTACTGTTAACTCTAGCTGTACACAATTTTAGAAATCTGTTTCTAGACTAACAGCATCTGTTATATCAGCTTGTTATCTGTATATCTTCATACACTTATCACAGTATGTTTGTTAATGTTACAGTATGTGGAAGAGGATCTGACATTCTTCCCGACCAACCGTGCTCTTAGTTTACAACAGGAGGAGAACAGAAATGAGGCCATCTTGGAACAGATGCAAGCGCAGGTCACGTACATCGTCAGCAAGATGCAAGAAGAGGTAAGGAGAAATGTGGATGTGTTTACGTGTGTACGTTTTCATGTGTGGATGTGGATTCGTATATTCATACATACTATGCTGGAGTGTTTTTGTAGATAATAATATATTTGTTCAGGGGTATATCCTAGTAACAGGGAGAAATGGAGAAATCACCCGTCCCCTGTATCTTGGAATAAGAAATATAATTATATGGAGATTGGAGTGGTGGTAAAAGATTTTTGTCATACATTATTGTTTTGGTTTAAACAATAGTTAAATTCAATTGATCAAATAGTTATGTATAATTTTGATTTCATTTTCAGGAGGCCAACAAACAGAGACTAATAGAAAAGAAGCAGCAACAACAATTTCTCCAACAAGAGAAAGCAGAGGTCAGGAGGACAGAAGAACTGTAATTAAAACAACGATAACAAGAAAGCAATAATTACAACGATCAAATGAAGAAACATATGACAGATGAAAGAGAAGTTACTTGTCAGTGCCAAAATGTGTTTAGACAAACCCTTCAGGGTGACATGGGTAACATGGTCTTCAAATCTACTGGCCCAAAGCAGAGACAGTGGCTAGAAACTTATGCAAACAAATTTACAATATTTTAGTGGCATTTAGCTTCAAGGGCTAGTGTATACGTCAGAGCTAGTTATGCCATTTAACTCGGTGATGTTTAGACCATTTAGACCGTAACGGCATCAGTAGTCGTATTAAATGTATGCGTTACATCTTTGTCAAATAATGACACCATACAATAATTGTCATGTATAACAATACAAATGTTTGCTTTTAAAGCATAATAAGAAAAGCTTCCACTGCCTCATGAGAAAAATATTTGTAAAAATTGCATCACAGGAAAGGCAGTATTTCGCAACTGTACATGTATTGTATATTGTGTGATCATTGTAATCATTTCCATTTGTATAACAAATGAATAATTTTTGTTGCGATATAAAATGGTGATACCACGTTGTGATAATATATTCAGTTCACTGATACACAGCCCCCGCCGCGGGCCCCCCCCCCCC